ACAGATGTGTTTTGAGTTGTGATTTGAAATGGGGGAATGAATCGATATTTCTGAGTTGGGGTGGTAGTAGATTCCAGAGACGGCAGAGCAGCTGAATACTCTACTCCCCGTGGTGGTGAGATGGGCGGAGGGGACAGACAGGTGTGTGGAGGAAGATGATCTGAGGGAGCGGGAGGGAGTGGGAACATGGAGGAGGTCGGACAGATATGGGGGGGCGAGGTTGTGGATGGCCTTAAATGTTAATGTATGATTGACAAAAGCCTATATTTCCCGCCTCAAAATTTTAAAATTAATGTAAAAGCAGCAAACAGCATTAGCACTGTAACAGTGTACTGACCGACTGACAGCGGGGTGTTAGCATAATGTATTTAGCCTAAAATACGGTTGAACAACATGAATGTTAGCTGGCTAGCTCACGAATTCCACGAAGTTAAAATGATAGTTTGACATTTTCAGAACGACAAAATCCGCAAATACAGTGACAACGATCACTTCGGTAAACAAAGTCTGACTAATATATCTGTCACAAACAATTTTTTCCCAAAATATCTGATTAAGACGAGTGAATATTGTACTTACGTCTTCACAACGGTCTTCTAGAAAGAAAATGCTTCGCCTTGACCGTGGGCGTCATCGTTCAGAAATTGGAACAAATCCGGCTCTCCCATTGGACAGCAAAAGATTGGCTTTTCGAAATTGGAACAAATCCGGCCATCTGATTGGCTGGCCGTTTCCCGGGGCTTGGAAGAATTGGAACAAATGCACGACGGTGATTGGGAGAGGCGGGAAACAGTGTCTGTTACAAACTGCATCTGAAGTAATTATGACTAAACTAATGACTAAATCTGCTTTTTTTTTTTTTTTAAATCAACGACCGTTAACACAAACTACACGTCACAGACCGGTAGTAGCGTCCTCTGGTCTCCGCTCCTTTCTGGGTCACACAGGTGCAGTCACTCACAAAACCTGAGAAAAGCTTCAGGGGTTGTTGCACAGTGTAACTGAGGTCTTTGTAAATAATGTGGCCGCCTGATAAACATAGAACAGTGATGTATTATCTCCCAGACTGTGACAGAGGAAAAACCAAGATTAAGTGTCAAAGTGAAGTTGTTGTTAAACTTAAGAATGAACTCTCCTTGTTAAAAAAATCTGAAAAGTCTGAAACAAATAAATAATCCCCATGCAAATAAAACGTACATATTTATCGCAAAATTTAACCTATCCTAAACCCCTTGTATTTAATTAGTATGGATTTACTTGGTTATATGATTTTATTTTTAATTGTTTTGTTATTTATTTTATTCTCTTATCATTCTCTCATTCATCTTATATCTGTTATATGTTTGTTTTTGAAATGTGATATACACCACCGCAATAATTTTTCAGTTTGGAATATCAAAGGAGGTGTGAATTTACTTTAAAATGTTAGATAATTATGATTATGTTTGAGTATGTCATCGTTCATGTAATGTTCTATGTTTAAATAAAGTTTTTTTTTTTTTTTTTTTAAAGTTGTTGTTAAACTGGACTGAGATCATGTGACTGTGAAGGAAAAATTTTATTTTTGCAATAAACATACAGTTAATGAGAAACTACTGTAGGAGCCATTTCTATGCGAATATATGTAGATACCAAATTTTCCATCCAATGTGACCTTCAAGAACCAAACTGAAGTCCAGAGGACTGAACAGCTGCTCTACAACATCAGGCGTTCTCTGATACGTCCAGATACTGATCTGACCTACCTCCTCAGAACTAGTTATTCTGAGAATACACATGAAAAGAATCACTGAACTTTACCCAACACCTGATCTGTTTCTCAACATCAGACAGCTCTGGAGGAATCAGACCTGAGAGCTTTACAGTTTTATTTTTGTGTGAACCTTCTGTTTGTTTTATGTTTGGTTCATCTTTATATCAATTATCTCTTCTGTTAACTGGTTTTGTTGTGGTTTAAACTCTGTAGAGATTAAGAATCTCAAGAAAAATGACTGATTTCATATTGGGTTCTTTCATTGTTCCTGTCATTTCAGCTTCTCTCAGCGGTTCACACACTGAAGCAACGATCCCCTGCACTGCCTCAAACGCCTCCCTCACAGGCTTCAGTCTCACCTGGAGATTCAACCACACTCGGATCATCCTGAACCGGACCGGAGCTGACGTCTCCTGCACAGTCTCAGAGGGGTGGAGGCAGCAGGTGAAGGGCGTGTCAGAGTCAGGCAGCCTCATGCTACAGGACTTATCTTCACATCATGAGGGAACATACACCTGTGAACTGAGGGACGCTGAGGAGACACTGACGACCAACACCTTTCTCAGGATAGGTGAGGCAGCTTTAAGTTAGGATCTCTTATTCTGTATCAGCATGAACTGTTATCATCTGTAAAAACAGAAAACACCAACATGACAGGCTCTTTCTATATTTCAGGAAATTCAACCAACGTTGGAGGTATTATAATCGGGGTGGTTGCAGCCGCTTCAGTCGTAGCAGCAGCTGTTGTTCACTGTAAAAAGAAATTAGAAAATTCCTGAAAAAATTTTGAATGTGCCCGCTGCTTGGTGCGTGTACTTCATTCCTCATGTTTAAATCCATACATAGGACGTTACTTTCAGTTTTATTCATGTTGTAGAGACTCATCCTGACACTGACCTGGCCAATATAACCTCACAATTATAGAAAGGCACGAACACACACATCAAAGAACCACACATCAACACCCACACACAAATATATGCAAATACACTGTGTTGATTTACCTTAGAGTTGCTCTCATACCTGAGATAAAAGGCTAAGACGCAATGAGTTTAATTAGCCAATCAGAATCAGCTTTGTCCATGTCCATCTGCCTGGATACTGCGTTTGTAGCACCTGCCGAGACCTGAGACCTGAGACCTGAGATGGGAGAGCTGCTATGATGGTTGAACAGTTCCTGTAGCTCAAAGTAATATCAATGTCTGCTGCTGTATTTGCTGTATTTGCTGTATTTGCTGTTTTTGCTGTATTTGCTGTATTTGCTGTATTTGCTGTATTTGCTGTCTAGTCTGAACTGTAACATTCTGTGGAAATACAAGGGCTTCACACATGCCCCCATTAAGCATTCCAGCGAGAGTGAGTAAGTATATAATAATATATTATTATATGCCTTTAATGACATTACATTGCAGGCACATAAAAAGGTAAAATAATATTCTGCTTACACTTTTTAATCAATTTCTTGTTTGTTGTTTGTATTGATGTTACACTCTCTCTCTCAGGTCAACAAGAAAACAACATGACGATGATGAAACACAAACGTGAGTAAATCTTCTGTATTAGAAATGCACTGCTGCTCTGTATGGAACACAATGTACAAGTTAACCTGTGATTTTAAGGTTTTCTGAACCCAAGTAGAGTGCTTCAGGAATGAGTCCTGTTCCAAAGTCTCTGGGTTTTTTTTTTTTTGTTAGATGACTGAAAGGTCTGTGGGTAACACGAGCTAAAGACATTTTCACGTTTCATTCTACGACATAAAATACGTCGGTAAATACCCCAGTTGTCATTTTTCTTTAAGCTTTTACGTTTCTTAAAAAAGGCCGGTTGCTAACAAGTGGCTGAATGAGACTACAGAGGTTGATGGGGACGTTAAACATCATCATCTCACAAACTGTTACAAAGTTTGTGAGAGGAAAGGCTTTTGTGGAAGAGGTCTGCAGTTCCGTAGTGGTGATGCTGAAGTCATGCGACCCTGGTGTAGTTCGTTTGTAGCCTAACATTAGCTTTTTACTTCCGCCGATTATATTTATTGTTCCAAGAGTTTATTTTCTGCTGTCCAGGACTTACAGGCATGGAACTAAACACAGGTGATCTAAACTAATACAGCACACAGGAAAACTGAAAATCCAAATGCATAAATCTATCGCTAGGAAACATGAGGGAAACAGTCAATCTGACAAAGACTGACAGGAAGCCAGAGACTGAAATACACAAGGGAGGCAATTTGAAATTAATTGGGAGCAGGTGAAACATCAGGATGGAAAGACGATCACAGAAGTGGGAAAAACAAAGACAGGAAGAAAAACAACCACCTGGGGCGATCAGACCATCATATCATGACGATATCGTACAGATAGCATTAAAAGCTGCTATATTTAGATATTTAATTAAAAAAGTTCAGTCGCTGTTAACCAGCCCATTGTTAACTGTTAAGCTAACCTGCTAACTGCAGCTGCCCATGGCAGTCCTTGTTCTGCTCTGTAGCCTCGGCGAGCGTGACATAAATTTTCACCGTTCGGTGCTCGGTCCCTAATGATGTTGTTTTTATATATATGTTTACAGTGTGCATGTATTATAGCTTTTTTCTTCAATCTCCAATAAGTTACTAAAAACAAGAAAACCTTTTGTTTTATATTTTCCCCTTTATCACTAGTCAGTTGATAAAAATAACTCTCTCTCTCTCTGTCTCTCTCTCTCTCTCTCTCTCTCTCTCTCTCTGTCTCTCTCTCTCTCTCTCTCTGTCTCTCTCACACACACACACACACATACTCCCACCCTGGACTAATCCTTGCTATGGATATTGATGAGGAGGAATGAGGAAAACGGGAACGAGTTTTCTTGGAAGAAACAAGAAAACAGATAAAAGGTGAAACGTATTGAATGTGTGCTGAGATGTGGATCTCTTCTTTTACATTTCAAATTAAAACAAATTTAACTCCAGAAAGTTTCTACAGACCAACACACACACAGTTAATATCAAATCCAGCTGCTGTAAATGACTAGTAGACTAACTGAGCAGATACAGATAAAGTTTCTCTCTTTCTGGATCTTGGTAACAACAGGTTTGACAGATTTTCAGACCTACTTGGATAACACCTTCATGGATACAGATCAAGTGATTAACGAGCTAATCTAATTGACCTCTTACCTCTTAGTGGACTCCCATCATCCTCCTGCTCAGAGAGCGGCTGGATGCTGGTGCAGAGTCCTCAGTGCAGAGTCCTCAGTGCAGATTCCTCAGTGCAGACCTGCAGACAGGAACCAGAACCGTCACCAGAGCAAGTCGTGATTTCTTCCATCAGGGTAACCGGAGACCATGGGACAAGAAGAGAGCCACACTGAGGAGATGGACTTGGCTCAGATTCAGGATCTGTGCATCATCTTCATGAAGGAGTGTCCGAGCGGCGCGCTGCACCTCCACGAGCTGAAGAAGATCTTTGGGGTGCCGAGCAGCTCTGAGGAGTCCCTCTACGTCGAGACCATATTCCGCTCCTTTGATACAAACCAGGTGAAAACGCACACAGCAGTTTCTAATTATACAATCAAAATTTTCATTCCCACGTAAATTTAACTCTGAATTATTTGCCTACAGGATAACACACTTGATTTCCTGGAGTATGTGGCGGCACTTCACCTGATCTTTAGAGGGAACCTTGAAGATCGGCTCAAGTGGTCTTTCAAGATGTACGACAAGGACGGGAACGGCAAGCTGGACAGACAGGAGGTGAAACGCATCATAAGGGTGAGAAAAACCACCTCAAACATTTATTTACAAACATTCATTACAACTTGTACAGTAAGTTATGAATGATGGTTTTGTAGAAATGTGAATAAAATGTGGTTGTGTTTTCCGCTGATGTCTGAAATTGTCCAAATGACCAGGTTTCGTAACACAAATCCTCTCAGGACAGATTATAGTAGTGGCCCAGTGACAGGGCTTAGGACCAGGGGTCATGCACTGTAGGTTCACAGGCTGTTAGATAAGGAGTGGGTGGGCTCTGTTGGTGCTATTCTTGAAGTGAACATCTTTAGCATACTTTACAGTAAGCTTCTAAATCGAGAAACATAAATCTAGCCTACTGTGCACATGATCTGATTTACCTGACAAGGAATTAGGTAATATTTGTAATCCAGTGACCCTATTCTAGTATTGCATAAAAAAAAAAAACAAGCAGGAAAGGTCTTTCTTCTCCTTTCAGAGCTGTCCATGATGTATGACATCTCCTGAGCTGTCACTGACAGTCGTGCAGAACTGGAGGGGTTAGTGAATAAAGCTTGGACTGATCTCATGTGTCTCACACAGATTATTTACAAAATCAAGTTCCAGACGAGCAGCGTCAACATGTCTCCGTCTGAGATCTGCGACCGGATCTTCGAGTTGGTCGACCAGAATAATGACGGTACGTAAGAACAAAGCTTCAGCGTGTTGTGACGAAGAATCACATGTGCAGTTTTGTCACGCTGGGATGTTTTTTTGTTTTTCTTCACATCTATGTTTATAGTTCCTGTCACACTGGCTGTAAAGAGATCCACAGTTCTTGTTAGTCAAACAGTTTGACTCTTCAAATCTTCAGGTTGTTCGTCCGTCTCGTTCTCGTGAACGCGATGAGGGACTGTTAACACTTAAGTGGTCAAAGGTCAGGGTCACGGTGACCTCACAAAACACATTTGGGGACATAACTCAAGAATTAATAAACTGCACTCTGCATTCAGAGGCTGCACCTGAAGACCGATTGTGTCACAGTGGCGCAACGATAATGTCCCATCTCAAGGCTCCTTTAAATGCGTCCTTCTCCAACAGGTGGATCCTTCATGGCTCAACCTATCCCATGACTCATTGCAGGCCGGTATTGAAAGCAAACAACACTGACAGAGAACCTGAGGATTACACTTTTAAATCTGAGTATTGGGTTTCAGCTCAGTTCAACAGCTAACGGTACAACTGCTAAAACCAAGAGCTTTAAAACCTCAAGTTTTTGTAAATAGAAGTTTAGCCGTGTTGTCAAAGTTGCTAAGCAACAGGAGCCGTGCTTTTCGACGCAACAGTAAGGGCGGGAACAGCTGATGATGCAATCCTCCGTAGGCCAGACAGTTGTAACTCTTTTTTTGTAATGTACAGATGAGTTTTATATTAAGTTACAAAAAAAAACATTTAAATTTATTCATTCAGAGCCACAGATTTATTTTGAACAAATATGAGGGATGAGCACAATCAAATCTGGACAAACTCTCTATGTTTAAGTAGAAACTGTGCTGATCATAAGTCAGCTGTAAACATAGTGGATGTTCCTCTGTTGGTTCTGTTTGAAGAAAAAATACACCTTTTTAATTTTGATGATTCCTGTCACTTAATCTGTTGTTGCTTTTTCTCTTAATCCGACATTTTGACCTCAGACACACTGATGCTTGTGGATAAATGTAAAACATAGATTTTTCTCCTGTTGTGTTACACGCAGTCATCATTGTGGATTGTCTCTTTGTCCTCACAGGTCAGATAACTTTGTCAGAGTTCATGGAGGGAGCACAAAAAGACGAATGGGTCATGAACCTGCTCAAATTGGACGTCAACGCCACCAGCTGGGTCACCCAGAACAGTGTGAAATTACCATGACTCCCAGGCTCAGTGGGGTCACCGCCCACATGTTTTGGATTGAGGTGCTGACTTCATACCTTGGGTTTAGGAGCTTTACCTTCGCTTCCTGTGACTTGAAGCTGGAGAGCGGTGTACTTTGTCATGGCTGCAGCTCTGCCAGGATTTGGACGGCTGGTCCAAAGGTCCGAGTCCTTGCTGTGGTCCGTCTTGGCAGTGAGCTCATGTCTCTATCGAAGAAAACCCAATACTCACATAGAAAGTGTGTTGTTAAAAGCTGTATGGTCAGTTATTGCATATTTATTAATGCATGTATCTTTAGTTTAGACATGTCGGCCATAATGGATTTGTAAACAAATAAATAACCCCAAAGTAAAGAGTCAACTTTACATTGACAAGAAAAACACTTTATTTAATTATTCTATCTGATATAATCAGTTGTTACAGTTATTTGTTGCTAAATAATTTAAACATAAACAATTTCGAAATTGGTTAAATATTTTGTAGTAATAGTATAACTGTAACATAGAAATATCTTGGTGGTGTTCTTGTTTCTGCAGAGGGCTGATAAAAATACCAACATCATATTGTGCTAATTTGTTAACCCATCTAAGAGTTTAAAGCAGTATTCATTTTTTGTCCACTAGGGGGCAACAAAACAAGCTAAAACACAACATTAACATCAGAAGAAGAAGCACACGGGTTTGCAAACAGCTGCTTACTTACTGTACGTTCAGACCGAAAGCAGCGAGAGCAAAAACATTCGCTCTGGCAGCTCTGTTGAGAGGTTCGTGGACGCTCTGACGTAGATGAAATAGACAGCTAGCTGCTAGCTGTTTGTTCAGGATGGTTGCTTTTGTAAAAACTTTATTTAAATGGCCTGAAAAGCAAACACTCATGTCCACCGGTATCTTTGTAGAAGGGTTTAAGTTAACTGCATGAATTTTTTTAACGTTAGCGTTACCGACTGATTTGCATTAAGTTGTTACGCAACTGTATTTTGCATGCTATCACGCTAGTTAGCATGAAAATCCCTCCTATTATAGGCTACACTTCACCAGCTCACCTGGAACACCTACAGTGTCACACACCTTTGACCATGCATTGTTTTTATTTAAGTAAACAAACAGGGACTCCTCGTAAAAGACAGGGGGAAAACCCGCCACCGCAATTTTCAGTTGTTCCTCTATTGTTCCAATGTTTGATGGGAACAAAACAAGGTTGTGTTCTCTAGCGTTCTCAATACGCAGCACTTCCACATTCTGATTGGTTGCCACCAAACTGCGTCATAGCTCATTACCATGAAGTTGCCTGGACTTCAACTTCTTCTGATGCCCACACCGCCCAAGACGCGCCACCAACAGCCACGCCCCTGTTCGCCGCCAAGAGTGACGTTTTCGCCGCTTTCGGTCTGAACGTACAGTCAAACAGTTCACAGACAGAGCAACATTAACTCTTGTTTGAAGTTTCGTTTCAAGTTATTTGAGTGTAAAATGTAAAATTCACTCTTCTTTGATAAACTGCTGGTGAATATCTGGCCCCTTCTTCACCAGATCGTCTCTTACTGTGTCCGTCATTTAGTGATGGGCAACACGGTGAACTGTAAAACAATATGTCAGAATATTTTACGTAATGTTGTTTTACTTTTTGTTTTTTGTTTTTTTTGTTTTTTGCAAAAGTCTGAAGAAAAGAAAAATGCGGCCCTGAGAGAAAAACTCTGTATTTGTTTCAGATGTGTATTTATTTTGTTATTAAAACATATTTTTCTAAAAACTTAATGCTGTGTTTCCTTCACCTTGTCAGGTACAGTGTCTTTTTTGATTGTGCCACAAGGAGGCGCCAGAGGCAAAACATTTCAAACCCTACATGTAGCTCATCAGTTTGTCAGACATCCAAGAGACCCACCCACCTTTCACAGTCGATATCATTACTTACACTTATGACCAGGTGTTGGAAAAACAAACTGTACCATGTTTCATGTAGTCTCATGTAAATAATCTGGATTTCACCACACCTGTTATCAATGTGCGACCAGAGGAGAAAATATTAATGTTGAAATTACCATTACATTGATTAATTCTGTCAGGTGATCATTTAAAAATAAAGAAATACCTGCTGATAAAACATGATGTTTGTCCAAACAACAAACTTTGGATGAAAGATGCAATTTGATCTTTGGATACAAAAAATATTTAAAACTTTGACAGTAAAAGATTCACGTCCATCAGTCTGAGTTTGATGAACAATATGGTGATAATCAATCTAAAGTATTGTTATTGATGTTTTCCGGTGCAGTTAAACCTGTTTATTTCAGTTATAATCACATGGAAACTCTGCCACATCAGGACGTTCATGTATATCTCGAGCTGGTTTATGTTTCGTTGTGAGTTTACCAGGCAGGTCAGGTCAGGTGGACAGTGTAGATTTAGACAGACCTCAGTGGATCAACAGTTTTACAGACCCCGCTCAGGCTGTATTATGACGTCATCCGTCTTTTAATCTCACTGGGAGTTTGGTGGTGGCTTTTCGTCTGGATCGGGACAATCCACTTTTCTCTGCAGTCAAAGAGCCGACAGATCTGCTGCTCCTGCAAATTCATTAGCGAGTCAATCGGTATTTGTCTTCAGGGCAATGTGGGGTGGAATTGTCCGATTTTAGGGAATGGAAATGTTGAAGAAAAAAAGATAATTGTGTTGAAGGATTTGGGGAAGATCACTGAAAAGTCAATTGGATTTGTCCACAGGTTACCTGGAAATATCCCACACACTTGTTTTCTGCTGGGGCCTCAAACCATGGGCGAATGGCTGGTTGACAACTTCTACCTGGATTTTTCATTATTTTAGCAACTTTTTCTTTAAATCAAAATATCATGGGCCAAGTACAAGGTACACCAGATAAGCAAGTGACTCTTAAAAACATTCAGGAACTCTACCGGAAGTTTGCAAGCGAGTGTCCGAGTGGAAATCTGCACTTACACGAATTCAAGAGAATCTTTGGAATCACCAGCAACTCCACAGAAGAAGAATCTGCATACATGGAAAACCTGTTTCGATCCTTTGACACAAATAAGGTAACGTCACAGTGTCTTATGGCCAAGAGAAGACACAATTCAAAACGGACATTTAACAAAGTTAACTTTAGTTCAGTATTGTTGGAAAAATGTAAATGGCCAGATTGAATATTTGTCAGTATTTGCATAATGTCAGTCTCCTGTTTCCCTCTCAGGACGGGAAAATAGACTTCATGGAGTATGTGGCAGCTGTGCATCTCGTTCTTCGAGGAAAACTAGAGGACAAGCTGAAATGGTCTTTTAAAGTTTATGACAGAGATGGAAACGGCTGTCTGGACCGACAGGAAGTAAGACACATCGTCAAAGTAAGTTTTCAGATCCATTCATGATGCTTTTCTGCAGAGACTATGGTTCATCGTAATGTTTTCTCTTGTACGTAAGTTATTTTACAATTAAAAAAATCTCAAAATCTTGCCAGTGAGCTACAGGTGCAATCACTGAGCTGCAGATATTTTAATAGCTTTAATGGATTTAGTTGCGTTACTAATATCAGATCATTGATTCAGTGAGATATTGTACTACACTCTTTGAATAATCTTTAACCCTCTGGAGTCAGGGTTGATTGTTCAGCTGTTCTTACTCCACATGCACGGTCTCCTTTTTTCTGCACAAAAGTCTGAATCCTCCTTTTGTGGAGTGTGTAAAGCTGTCAGAAAAATAACACAGGGGGGTGTAAAATTTTACAAATCTTTAGTTATAATCAGTCAGAATATGATCAAAAAACAGTTTATGGTTGTTAAAAAATATTATTTCCTGTTCATACAAACAAAAACAGCTGTAAATGGAAGAAATAAAGATCTAAAGTTACACTCTATTTTGGCCTACATGTGAAGCGATTTTATTCTTTAACTTTTTCATTAGAAATCTAACTGAAAATATTAATTAATGTTATAAACTCACTATTTTGAAACTTTCTTTTAATAAATGATGGCATACAGATGTGTATTAGATCATGTTTGAAAGCTGCACATCAGCTGGTTTTCTCAGCTTGTCCCTACATGACCATATAAATAAATGTAAATAAAAGATGTTCACATTCAGAACAGACAGACTCCAGAGGGTTAAAGCCACACCAGGCTCCAGACACCAGTGAGAGTAAACTCTGGGTTGTTTGTTGTTTATTTGCTCTGATACCTAGAAATCCTCTGATGTGTTGTGTCAGTGAACATCTGTGTTATCTTATAAAAAGGTGACATGTCACCCCAGAGTCGTTTTAAATGAAATCAAATGATGCCCACACGTGTCGACAATTAGTATTCAGTGCGTAGCATAAAGGTTGCAGTTAAAAGGGATCACAGCAGCAGAGAACCTGTGTAGATTTCAGTGTCTCTCTAATTAACGTTGTGTCATTGCTCTGAAATCATTAAAGCCACTGAAAACAATAGAATGAAACATAAAGCACAAGATATTTTCTCTCAAACATGTAAACTGACATCAGTTTGTTTCTCTCATCTGTTCAGATCATCTACAAGATAAAAAAGCACAACGATCCGGGCATCACCGTGAACATCGACGACATCTGTAACAGAATATTTGAACTGGCGGACAAGAATAACGACAGTAAGTTCCAGGTTGACTGTAATCCACATTCAAAATCAGACTGTGAGCAACACCTGTTCCTACATTATAAATCCATAATGCCATTAGTTCCTCACCTTGTGTTTCTCTTGTGAACTGTCCAGGTCAGATTTCTTTGGAGGAATTTATGGAAGGGGCTGAAAAGGACCCATGGTTGATGGATCAGCTCAAACTGGACATCGGGCCCTGTGATTGGTTCATGGAACAGCAGAAGATTAATGAAAAATAATGATATATAGATAGTATTATTATACATTATCTCATCCACAACTGGGTGGAATCTTAGCAGCTCGTAGGGTTCTCCTCTCAGTGAACCCAGACCAGTATTGACTCCATGGTCAAACCGGGAGAGAAACTCAACCTTGGACTTCGCACAAATGACACTGACGAAGCCTATAAAAACGTAAACAACTCTATGGATGTTTTGCAGCCCACAGGCTGACCAGGATTTCAGCCAGTAGTCCCCATGGCCAGTCCACCTGTGCTCTGGTCCTATTTCTTTCTTTGTCAGAGGCCATTTTAGCCCAAAAAGTGGTTTCTTCAGTGGAGGGAGGGTGACTTTCACCTGAATGCTCCGTTGCCAGTCTGGATACCAAAACAAAGAACAGAGAAACTTACTGTGTTTCAATTCACAAACTTCCGTCATCTTTTGTACCTCTGAATGTGTGAAAAGTATTGATTATATCTCTCTTGAGGTATAACTGTGATATTTTAGCAGGTCACTGTAAAGTCAATACAGAGATCACAACATACACAGTTCTCTTCTTCTCTTATCACGGTCTGCCTGGTTTAAAACCCACTGTGTGTTTTTTAAATCTGAACTATTCATTTATATTGATAGATCATCTGAATGTGAATGACCAGGAAAAGAACTGCAGTAATGAAGAACACAAACGCAGGAGAAGATGAGAACAGAAGTATGTGAGCTAGATCAGAGATTCAATCAGCATCTTGTTATTGATAATCTTTCATTTTTCTACTGTCACTTGGTAGCTTCATTTCCTCAGTGGATCAGCTGTTGGTATATTGTAAATATTTTAACATCCTCAATGCTTTAAGTTGAAAATAAGACCAAACCAGTGTGTGTTCATGTTTCATCACATATTTCTCACTTTTATTCTGGGACCAATTCAGTTGTCAAAGCACATTCAAACAAAAAAAACAAAGAGGAGACCTCGAGGGAGCTTTCACATTATGGATTTAGTCTGACTTACTATTCTTAGCCTTTAAAGCTCTTTAACTAGCAGTATAATATCCTTTGGCTTCACAGTGACACCAATGAGAGTCACAAATACTGTTAGGTAAAGAGCCTTAGTGAAACAGGCTAAATCCATACAGTATAAGATCCCATGGGGTCTCCATAAGGTGATGGTGTCTCTGCGCATGTGTGACTCACTGAGCTTCAATCAGAGTCAACAAGCTTAATACATCAAATTATTTTTGAAATATTTAAATTGACCAATATTTTTATGTTTGCTTCTGACAAGAATTAAATGAGGAAAATGCAGAATGACACTAAAAATGAAAAATGAAAAATGAACCTGCTCCTACTGCTCAATGCACATAAATCCATTGTCTGCAGCATGCTGGATTACCAACCAAGCCCCTCTGAGGCCCATGCCTGGCGAGGTTCACCATGTATCATTGTTTGTGTTAATTTGACTAAGTGTGAATTTGTTTGGGAGCAGGTGCCACTGGTGGTGATAATTATGTCATCTTGAGAATCTGTGAAGAACAGCCCTGTGATAAAATATAGTTATATATTTTATAAAAAAAAGATCTTTACTGGTTCAATTGACATTACACCTACAAAATAAACATACATAAATGTGTGTTCAGTCAAATTACTATTTCCTCTGACAGTGTGCAAACCTGGGGTCAGTATTCAGGCAAGAGAAAATTCTTTGTGCAGCAAGGCAGCATAAAAACACAATAAGATAACTTAGGACAGTGAAAGTGCTCTTTGCAATTCAGAATAAATTTCCAGTGTGTATACGAATAAACAAACACAGACAGTGGAAATAAAGTATTGAAGAATCTTCCTATAATTCTTTCAAGTGAAAATGTAAATGAAGAACTTAAACATACTGTAGATGATGTATCTCCTCCACTGTCAGTCATGGCTGCACCTGTCAGTGTCCTAACGATGGCGACATCCACGGTCTTATCTTAAATCTGTGTTTGAAGTTTTAGAAATAAAGAAAAATTTCTTTCTTTTTGAATGTTTGCTGTGTTTATTACGACCAAACGTCATCACTGCCTAAAACAAAAAAGAAATATGAAAACGACAACAGCTCATTTTGCTGATTCAGTTGTGTTTTTAAGGCCATGTCTATCGTCTTTGTATTATATTCTACAGGCTTTTTATTCTACAGGTTCTACAAGTAATTCACTAGGTTGTTTCAGAGTCATTAGGTTCTGTAATCAATGCCCTAATCCTCTTGTTCTAAATTTGAAGAAATTCCCTCAAATCTTAACGCGTTCACGAGAATGGGACGGACGGACGAACAACCGGAAACCAATAAAACTATATTCTCACAGTGTCATAAATTGAAATGACACTGTTAGTAGCTTGGTGAGTCGGACTGGAGAGACCCTGGACGATCCTTTCAAACGAAGTGCGTCTTTTTGACCAGAACAGAGGCGGAGTTGTCCTCTTAAGTCCGTTAAACGAAAACGGAAGTGATAGATAGGAAGATCTTGGTGTTTGTTTCCTCTTGGATACGCATTTGCTGGGACAAGAGGCGTCTTTTGGAGAAAAAAAAAAGATGAGGTAAATATTACTCCTCGTCTACACAACTCTAACAGATTTACCTACACCCATTAACTTCACAGATATCATATTGCTTCGTAGCTAATGATAATTGTCACATTGGCTACCGGGACCTGTCAGTGTAACAGAATTGCGCAGGCGCAGTTCCTCCCGGTTGTCTGTTGACAAACGTGACCGATGTCTATCTCTGTCCCGTTTGCAATTTCGTCGTGAAGTGGAATAAAATGTAATTTCACGGGATTTTGTCGACGTAGCGTGATGTCAGATGGACTCTTCATGAAGTTGTGAATCCGGTAAACACCTAAAAGTATTATTTTACTGGTTGCGAGCTAATTTATTAAGTTAATAGTCAAGGTGCAGTTCAGTGCTAGCTGCGTTAGCATGTAGCTACATAGCTGGCAAGATAAAGTTAGCTAGCTGGATTAACGTTAGCTATAACTGCTGTTTATTTAAATAACTGTCCGACTTGCCGACGCCCACCCCAACCCAACCCCCGAGGCCTTCTCCCGGTACAAGTGTGAGGCCTTTGCGGTTCAGTTGACCCGTGGTATGGATTAGTCGGAGATGCAAGCTATTAATTTAGCTAATGTCAATTCCTCGGCGACCCTCACACTTTAACTTGACGCTAGACTGTAAGAGATTTTGTGTTTGAAATGGGAATTTACTCCCGTTCAATCAGCAGTAGTTGGTGTGGCTTTCTGTGCTTTATGTTTCTGGTAAACCGCAATTATCAACAGCATAATGAGACTTGAAGAGAGCTGCATGTCTATGTCTACAGCGTTAGCATCTCTGCAGTATCTTTCATTGTGCTCTTAATCTAACGTTAAAATGTCTGTTAACATCTCAGTGCATTAAGATTTGATAACAAGCTACAACACAGTCAGAATCAGGTTCTTTTGCACAGTTCACCTGTTCATTTTTTGTGTATTGTCCATTACTAGTAAATAAGTGAACTTTATGTTTGTGCAAATAAATGACATTAAGCCAGAAAACCACTATGGCAATGTATGGTGCTGGAGTCTACTGTGGTATGCGTGACAGAACCAGTTTGACCTGATTTTTCTCCTGCGTCACGTGGGTAGGACTGTGCAGCAAGCTGAATGAATTTGGCTGATCATGCACCCTGGCAGTGTACTCGGTGTTACACCAGGCCTCAAGTCGTGTCCAGTTTAGTCCTCTAGGTGTTTGGGTTACTACCTGCAACAAGCACCAAGAGCCACACCTGTCAGTCTGGTTGTAAACAAGGTTGTGCTTCTCTGCAGCTGAAACATAAGCGGGGTTTATGATTAGGTTTGACTCTCCTAGCAATCACCTGACTGACTTGGCAGACCTGTGGCCTGCTTTCTCAGTTTGTCAGATGAACTGACCTGAAAGCCTGCACTGCTCAGTCTGTTATCTGCCAGGATGTTGATGAATATTTTAAAGAAGGAAAGCAGTGAGAGCGTAGTCTTGTCTTTCCTGTATCTCTGAGGGCTGACTTGCTCATTTATCTAAATACATTATTGATTTTTAAACTTTAATAGACATATAAGCTTCTCCAAGCTAACAGCTAACAGCATTGTAAGACTGCTAAAGTCACAATGAAACAGCATTTTGAGACTATCATGCAGCTTAAATTTGAGTTATGCTAATTTAAAACAGGATGTAAGAATCATTCAACAGTTGAAATCAATGAGAGGTCGAGTTAAAGAGTTTTATTTGATAGGAAGAATTGTTAAAAGGGTGGTGGCCATCACAACAGAGAGGCATAAAATGGAGACACAAGTGGGTCTGATATATAATACTGATTCGTTTGATTGAAATTTTATTTCCTAAACCTTAATAAACCACAGAAACCAAAATCCACACCATCAGTAAGATTTTCTAGATTCTGAATAATATATTTACCTGTGTGTGTGTGTGTGTGTGTGTGTGTGTGTGTGTGTGTGTGTGTGTGTGTGTGTGTGTGTTAGGTCTTAACTGAAACCATGCTGAAGTGGTTTTCTGGTGAAGAGGGAGAGCCTGGCTCTGGAGTAAGTACACATGTGCTTTTCTTTCCATTGCTTGAACAGTGGTATTGTTATCAGTGTCTGGTGACTGGTATTGTGGCACTATTTAAGAAACAACAAGTATTTTGTGTATTTGTCTCACCACTTGTTTCCATTCAAACCATTTGTTGCTATATTCATACATTTGTTGACCATAGATTTAAGTCAGTACTAACAATTTCTCTAGTAATTTAATTTGCTCAAAGGAAACCCAGTGGAAGCTTTGCAGTGTTTTTCATGTCCAGATAAACTGGAATTAGATAGACTGCTGAGCACAGGGCTTTGCCTCAGACAACCAGAGCTCACACTTCCTGTGAGGGGGAAGCACTGCTCCAGCTTAAACCTCTCTGCAGCCCCATCTATGTACTCTGCAGCCTATATGCTAATCTTACTTTTTAGGATAACATGCTTATATTCGTTTTTTACTAGGAATGCAATGAACAGCTCAAACCACACAACCATTACATTTTTCACTTCAAACAATATGAGTTTAAGATCCATTCAGATATTTAATCTGAGGTGGGGCAGTAGCAGCATTTCCCACCTGTTAGCCTTTGTGCCATTGTCGTTTGTGTTGCTAGGCAGCATCTAACTAAACAGGAAGAGGTTTGCAAAGCTTGGCCAGGAGTTTTAAAATCTTAAGAAGTTTTAAAGCCAGGAAAGAGAAATTTTACTGATGTCTGTCAAACCCAGAGATGAGATGATGTCTACCTCTCTCTCCCCCTCCTCTGCCACAGACACACAGACTCTCTCCCTTCACTCACTGATACACGTTTATTAAAATGATGTTTTCTCTGTTCTCACTGAGAAGCTGTTTATTCTTTTTCTTCGGTTGGCTGCAACACAACCGAAGCTCAGAGCTCTTTAGCTGAGGCTCAGCTGTTGATTTCTTTAACTGCAGTTTTATAGCTGGCACATTCATTTAAAATGGCAGACTGTACGTCATTGATGTCTGGTTAATCCACACCCACTAACCAATCAGAATCCAGACTTTTCACTGGCCAGGATATGCATTCGTAACAGCATTTAAAATTAAATGCAGAGTTTTTTTTTGTTTTTCTTTTTGGTCACTAGTCCACCATCTCCTCCGTCTCTCCTCAGGGTCCAGGCTCTCCCCATCATGCTGCTGCTGCTGCTGCTGGAGAGGTCGCTGTAGAGGAAATGGCAGAGCGGCTGACCCAAACGGAGCAGCTCGTCGCTCAGCTGAAGGAGCTGATCCGGGAGAAGGACGCGGCACTTTGCACCAAAGACGACCAACTTAAGGTGAGGACAAATATCTCTTCTGGTTTTCCTCTTGTAAACAGTTGTGTGTCTATTGGCTCTATGAAATTTTGACATTGATCTTTTGATAACTTGCAGTAATGGTGTGATGGTTTCTGGAGCGCCCTCCTTGTACAGTATACGTGTCATTATTTAAGCCCATATAACTTGTACTCGTGTCAGGTAGGGGTCATGTGTAGGGGCCACTTCTGTCATCACCTAAACCATGAAACAAAAAGTACCTGCTTTTGTTTTTCGTTATTGTCTGTGTCCTTCATTTGGTAATTGCATATTATCCACATGAAACACTCAGACCACGAGCAGTGGACTTAATGAAGTCAGTGTTCCTGAGCTTTGGTTCGGAGTAGAGCTGCTGGATATGCAAGAAAAAATCATATCGGGATTATTTTGGCAGTTATTGTGATTTCAGTTGGAATGATTGTTTTTACATTCAATTTTTACTGGAAAACAAATCTAAAAATAATGAGGATGTGATTTGTGTTGGTTCTTGTACCTAACATACATGTTCCTTTACGTCTGGAGGATATGATTTGTGGGTCGGGTCGTCTCTGTAGCACCACAACGCTTATGGTGCTGACAATGTACGACAATGTTGTGACACATTTTACCTTAATCAATAAAAACTGCAGCTCCTGCGATTTGGACATATTGTGATTTCGATTATATTTCGATTCATTGTGCAGCTCTCGTTGAGAGCCTTTCTATTCTTCATTCACTGTGTATTTACAACATGATAGTTCCATGTTTTATGATATGGGATATTTAAGTATGTGGTGTGAGCTCTGGGTTCTGTGTGACAGGGATTTGTATCTGACTGATCCAGGCACAGTTGGTCACATGTGTTTTTCTAACATAGTTTGTAATGCTGCAGTCAAGGGCCACTGTTAGTCACTGACTGAGACCATTCAGTGAAATCCCTCCCTGATATCGTTAACTATTAAACTGCCAAGTCAAAGTCTACTACACAGTGATAAAGACAGGAATGTGAGATTAAAGCCACAACACAGTAAATGTTTGGTTTAGAAACCTCATTACAGGAGAGTGCAGACAGGAACATTTACTCCACTACAAAACATTACTACAAGACCTGTCACATCTCGCGCTGCATTAATCTACTTTTTGGCAGCTTGTCCTTAGATTTTTCATCTGCATGAACTGATTTACAGCTGATGGTGTAACCAAGCAGTTTACTGATGTACAGCTGGGCGATATGCCCAAAAAACTAAATTAAAAATTCAGAGAATCAGAATCAGATGTATTTGACTCCACAGATCAGGGTGCAGGTCACATTTAAAAACAACAAAAGACATGTTATACGTGTGACATAACAACATGAAAACATGAAAAGAGAGCAGCGTTCTATGTCAGACTTTGAAAAACTACAAAAACATGACTACCTGTCTTTGTATTGTATAGATTTATACTTTTCTATGATATTTCTTTGCATTTTATTGTAGATATTTTATCTTATTGTTAAATTTCTCTATTCATATTTAAGATATCTGACGTGCAGTACTTGCTTGTTTCATCTTTGTTTATATTTCTTTTCGTCTTACTATGATTATCAATATGAACCAAAACACCAAAGCAAATTCACTGTATGTTGAAAACCTACTTGGCAATAAACCAGATTCTGATTAAGTCGGTGTCTCCAAGGAAACACAGCCAGCTTACATTGCTGTCATAGCACTAGCAGCGATGTTGTTTGAGAGACGGCAGAGGAAGCACATATCTCAGTTTTGTGATTTAGGCTTTTTTTTCACATCGTGCAAAAACATGAATTTGAATTAATGGAATAAATCCAATGTCACATATTGTCTGTGACGCAGGTGGAGAAGGAGGCGTGTGAGGCCAAACTGTCAAAGCTGCGTCTCCAGAACAAGGCCAAGGTGACCTCCCTCACATCACAGCTGGAGGAGCTGAAGAAACAGCAGGGAGGTCAGCGCACGCCAACACATGGCAAGAAGGTACGAGCATGCACACACATTCACACTGGTATGATTGTCCACCTGGAAACCTATAGTGAAAACATGAATTCCCTAAAACTCACATATATTGTATTATTTAAATCCCAATAAAAAAAAAAAGAATATGAACAACACATAAAAAGTTGTTACGGCCAATTCATTAGCACATACGTGGCTCCTTTAACAACCAGCAGACACAGAGCAATGTGATCAGTCCATTTGAATCATGTTTCTGGTCTTCTGGCAAACGCAGTCCAACGCGTGCCATTTGATATTTATAACATTGTCTTTGTGTTTCCCTGCAGGGGTCATCGGAGGGAGGAGGGGAGCAGGCCAGTCGGGGCAAGATCGTCCTGCTGAAGAAGAAAGTCGAGGAACTGGAACAGCAGCTCGCACAAAGAGACGAGGAGCTGGAAAACAAGGTAAAGTTTATTTATGTCATGTTTTCTCAGTTATTAAAGAAATGGAATTATTATAAAGAGCTGTTGTATGTATTAGATTGATTAGAAGGTTTTGAGTTGGTCTTATTGAATGATATAGATGTGTATTGTTGTATCTGATATCATTGAAGTATTGCCTATAAATTACTGGGGACCCCGTGAAGAGTAGCCACTGTTTCAATACAGTGGCTAATGGGGATCTAACAAACTAAATAAAAATAAATAAATAAATAAATTTGAATTAACAGTAAGTGCCTTCATTTTCAATCTATATAGAAAACTCCTAAAAGTGTAAATGAAAATCTCGCTTTAAATACAGTTGTATAAAAAGGTGTTTTAAACAGGTATCACACCTGTCGTAGTGAAACTATGAAGCCAGCGTCATGATCATGTTCACCTGTGTCTCTGTGAACGGTGTTTAAAACAAACAGTGAGTTGAATTACAGCGATGAACAGATGTACTGCTGAGAGAAAAAGCAATTTGTCTGTTTGTTTTTATAGTTAGCTGATAGATAGATAACGAGTTCAAACATGTATAAGCCCTGAACTGAGGAGTGAAACACTTCACTGAACAAACACTGTGAAGTATCTTTCTCTATTCTGGCTGATTTGTGACGTTTAGTTAAGCTGTTACTGTCCCAGGTAAACGCCTCCAGAGTGAGAGGCTGACCGGGTTTGTAATCTGATTTAATGTGCGGCTGTTTCTTTACTTCGCTAAGCAACATCATTACTAATTAATTCTAGCGGAAGGAGGTGGCGTCTCAGCGGCAGCGAGGAGAGGAAATGGACTCCATGCTAACGGAGAAGGACAGGAAACTGGCAGAAAAAGAGGCGTACATTGTCCACCTGCAGACAGCACTGGCAGGAGATCAGCCCATCGCACCTGCACCGCAACAAAAGGTGTGAACATCGCCTCATAACACTTTTCTCTGTCGTTCTCCACCGCAAACATTTTCACATCGTAAGACTGGGGTCAGCAGAAGCTCCATTTTAACTTCAATCAAGAGGCTTAAGTATATATTATGCTGTACATCCTCAGGTGTCAGAGGACAGTGGGGCAATGCAGGAGCTCCAGCTGCTGGTGCAGAGTCTGACCAGGAAGGTGGGAGAAGCAGACGAGCGCTACAGTTTGCTGCAGGAGCAGACGGACAGCCTCAAAGAGCTGCTGGCCACAGAGAAGGAGCAGTACGGTCAGAAGGAGAACATGTACAAACAGAACGTAGGTTTCCAAAGCGTTTGCCTGTCGCACTGACACATCAACGATCAGAGGCACAAGCTCTGATGCGTTTATCGTAGTATCTGATGCTGTTGTCTGTGTTTGTTATGAGACTCTGCTTGTTTGTTTCAGATCCAGACGTTCAAAGACATCATTATCCAGAAAGACAACCAGCTGCTGGAGATCAACCAGATGCACGAGCAGGAGCTCTTCAAGCTAGCAGCAAAGTCTGATGCCAGTGCAGACTTGGAGCAGGTAGTGACTCCAACCACTCTTTAAAGGAAACCTAACAGTGCCTTACCAAGTTCACTGTGTTAGTTGTGTAACATCATTTCCTTTGTCCTCTCAGCTGTTGAAGGCTCTAAAACAGAAGCTCCATGAGAAGGAGGAGGTGCTGCTGGGTAAAACCCAGGTCATCGATGTTCTTCAGGGGGAGGTGGACGGCAGGGACCAACAGATAAAGGTCAGGAGAGACACCTCTTCACTTTGAACATGTTTTTGTTACAGCCTCCTCATCCTCTCTTCTCCTCTCCCCACAGGAGCTCACCGAGCGGCTCCGTCGGCTGCAGGTTGAACGAGAGAGCCTGGAATCCAAGATGGAGGCAGAGAAGCATGTGATGCGAGCGCAACTTCGTGACCTGATGGAGAAACAGCAGGCAGAGGTGCGGCGAATGACTGAGCACCATCAGACGCAGATGGACCAAATCCAGCAGGATCTCCTGGGGCAGATGGAGGAGCTGAGGAGGGCCTCGGTAGCAGCACCACCACCTGCCCCCCAGGAGGCCGCAGGAGGTGGAAGCGTGCCTGCTGATTCAGCCTCCATCCAAAGAATAGCTGAGCTCGAAGGTTTGATTATTCGCTTGTGTCATTCCTTCTTATCATTATTCAGTCGACGTGTCCCAGAAATGCAAGAGAAATTTCATGGTGGTTGAAGATTGTCAGCAGTTATTTTTTATTTTAGTCTTTAACTGAAATAACTGGATTTATTTAAGCCAAAAAATAATAAAGATTTAAAAATACAGTTTTATGTGCAAATTGTGTTTTTAAAGTCAAGATTTTCACCTACATATTTGAATTATTATTATTATTGTTATCATTAATTCACAAATTTTTGAAACGTAACATAAATACTTGGATAATATTTTCTTTAATAAACATAATTATAACATAATGAGACTTATCTCCTGCAGTGGCTAAAGTAAATCAGTGGGATCTCTTCAGAAACTGATGTTTACCTCACTACAGTCTTGAATGTCACCGTTTCATTCACTTTCACTTTTGTTTTTTTTGCAGCCCAAGCAAAGCAGAAAACAGATGAAGCCAGCAGATCAGAGGCCAAGTTCCTGAAAATGAAAGCCTGGTCGAAATCCCGGATCAGACAGTTGGAGGAGGAGTTGAAGAAAAGCCAGGTAAGATTTACTGTGTTTTCCGTTCTCGAGAGTGTTTTCTTTAATTAACCCATTATCCTCTGACAGATGTTAAACAGATGTAAATGGGGTACCGATCACTTTATTATAACGGAGATAGAAGAAGAAACTCTAGAAACCCTGTTATCCAGATTAAAAGTAAAAAACCACATCAAAATGCAGGACGTCTTCCAAGCAAAGGTGCAAGATAAACAAAATAAAGAGACCCATTTAAAAGATGTTTATCTTGTCCCACTTCAGGCCGGAGTTGCCCCCCCAGACCTGACGGCCCTGCGCAGTCGTATCACAGAACTGGAGGAGGAGAGGGAGGAAAACCTCTGGAAAGTTGAACAATATGAGGAGCTCAGAACAAAGAACGGTAACAAAAGCAAGCAGCTTCTGCTTTCTGAGCTGGAGCAGAAACACTAACTCTTTATTTTGTCTGTAATAAATTCATTGACTCACGTTGTGATGTTAAATCTTCACTGTCGCTGGAAGCTTTGATGTGAAACTTGTATGTTTGATGTTTTGTGATAGAAATGCTGGAGGCTAAGCTGGTGGTTTATGAGGAGCAACAGAGGACACTACAAGCAGACCTGGAGCAGTTCACCAAGAGGGCTGCCTCTCAGGTCAGGGATCCGCCATGTTTTTTAAAAATTCTGCTTTCGGCGTGGAGTCGATGAAGCCTGCTCAGTGTTGTCGGTGTCCTGTCCCTCTCTGCTCCCTCTGGTCACAGGCGAGTGAGTCCGGCAGTGCTGATGACACTCAGAGCCAGGTCCTGGAGTGGCAGGAGATGGTCGCTGAGGCCGTCAATGCCAGGGACCGGGCCAGGGAGGAGAAGGCCGCCATGGCCCTCCGCATCAGCCACATGGAGGAGGAAAGAGAGGGTAAGGCCTTTGCTAGAGGATGACACGACGTTGTGTCAGTGGCAGATTAATGAATGAAGCTGGAATCAACAGGCTCAGTTGTTTATTACCACTAGGTAAATGTGGGGGAACTGGAGTTATTTTATAGAATATAAAACATGGATGTTGGTATTTTTTTGTGCACATAAAGTAATACACACTTGCTCAGAAAATCTGACACCATGTGAATCTACAGTGCTCCTGCATGTCATGTCGACCCTCTATAATCTAATACAGTAACAATCTGTTCAGGCACCGTAAAATATCCGCTCTCATCTTACTTCAGGACAGATCAGCTATGAGCTGCTGTTTGAGGGTTTTCAGTTGGAAGAGTTTCATGCTTTTGTTTTACTGTTGTAGTTGTGTTTTCTATATAAATCATTTACAGAGACGCTTTATGGACAAAGGTCCTCGTATAAATATCTTTTGGAGATATAATAAATTCAAGATCACAGTTATTGCAAACATTACAGTCTGGAAGCCCCACAAAGTCATCATAACACATCCTCGTGGTGGAGAAGTGAGTCAAGTGGCATTTTCCAAGATGTTTGGTTATTTAGGGTTGTTGTGCAGATCTCATGACTCTTAGTCATCTCAGTCATCCCTAGCAGCGAGCAGCACGAGCTGAGGTTTATTTCAACTACAATGAGAACATCTCATCTCACAGAAGCAGAGACAGGCCATACTTTTTATCCCGTTATCTCAACATAAAGCTCGTTATCCGAAGATGCACAAAGTCGCAGTAACACTCCTCCTTAGCAACAGTCCTTAGTAACTCGTCAGCTGATGAGGACTGGTCTGAAAATGACCTTGTATGAAAAGAGTTTCAATCTGCATCTGATCTCTGATTAATAAAGTAATTATAATGAGAAAACAAGCTTTGATCAGATAAGATAACGGGATAATACCTCGTTATCTCGGGATAATGAATGTTGTTTTGTTCAGATAACAGGATTAAAAAAAATATATTTGCGAGTATGGCCTTTCTCAGCCTCCGTATCATCTGATGAAATGTTCTTAGTTGCTGGTTTATTAGATCCACAAAATACCAGAAACACCTCTTTAGTATAATTCAATGAATCCAATAAACTGGCAACTGAGTCTGAATTTCAGTTCACTTTGTATTTTGTCCCCCCCCCCACTACCTGCAGCACCATGAGACTTTGCAGCAGAGAGATTCACAGTTTGTGTTGTACCATGTGTCGTCTGTTGTCTGACTCAACATTACTTTCTGTTTCTTTATTTTTTTTCCCCTCGTCCTCACCTTTGTTAACGGGGAGCATTTCGTTGATCCTGTGCTGCCTCCCATCTCATGGACCTCCGCCCCCCCCCGCACCACCACCACCACCACCACCACCACATACATACCCCCCCTCCCCTCCCACACACTCTCCCACTCCAGCCCCTGCTCCAGGGATGGGAGCAGCCACACAGAACAGTTTCCCATCAGTTTTGTGCATGCAGGCTCCTCCAAACCTCCAGTGCAGCTCTGCCTCACTGTGCTGCCTGTAGTTCCCCTTCACTTTACCTGCTCCGGGGTCGAACCACAGGCAGCACAGTGACGCGCTGCTGCACGTTAGAGTCTGCCATTTTGTTTCTCCTTTCTCCTTCCCCTCTCCTGTGTTGTTCCTCCTTTCCATTCCTTCACCCCTTTCTGTCCTTCTGTTTCTTTTTTCTGTCCTTTGATTAGTGGTGTGGCCACACTAAAATATTTTGGAATAACGCACCAATGATAATAATATAATAATAATAATAATATCTTGGTATCAATCAGAATCAGACAACGCTGTTATTTCTCTTTTGTGGTGGGACGGCTAATTATACACTAACTCTGGGAAGAGGACAGTCAAAAGTTGTCAGGCGAGAGTTTCTGTATCAGATGCTACAAACATAAATAACATTCATATAGATTATCTTTGATTATTGTTTCAGTCATTACCGATCAAGCTCACATGGGCCTTTAAAGTTCTGGTATTTGCGATATTTTATTAGGGTTTACATGCCATCAAATCTTTGATTACCAAAATAAATTGCAATCATTGCACTAGACATCCAGGTGTTTTTAAATATCCTGTGTTCTGCAAAACTAAAGTCGTGCTCAAAATAAAGTGGCTAATGGTCCCTTTTAAATTATTTCTGCCTGTTGATTTTGATGAACTCTGTGAGCCACTGGCTGTTAAATTGGTGAATCAGTGAAGTGGAGTAGACTTTAATGAACCCACCGTGAATAATGAGACTCAAAAGCCTCACAACTCAACTCAAAGCCCTCGCAGTAATTAACACTTTCTTTCTTTTTTTTTTATGAAGCTCTTCTGCAGTCAATTTGTCTCCAGAGACGCACTTCACCGCTGTCTCTGCTAACACTGACAGAAAACCAACAACCTGTCTCGAAGCATTACGTCCTTTCTCAGACCTCGTTAGTAGAGAGAGTTCGTTTTTACCTTTTGCTTTCAATCCAATCAGTCTTAATGGTGAAACTCTGTGATTTAATTCAGGGTGAACTTACTCGCTTATGTTCAAGTTCTGCTGGAGATACCTGTCAGTCTTTTGTGATGCACAAGTTGATCTGATGTGGCTTTCAGGTTGAAGATAGCGTGCTTGGTGTTGCGTTGAGTCAAGTGGTTTCTAAGTTAGAAACCATTAATGGCTGTAAACAATATCTAAAGACGCGACGGCTTCAACATCAGCACCTGCTTCGCTTTTGCTTCTGTTTTTCTGCTGCAGCTCAAAATGTCGAAAGTGTTTGCCCGAAAATGTTGATTTTATTTTCATTACTAATCACCCTCCCTGTTGAAAATTTGATTGTCCCGAATCACAGTAAAGCAGATTGACACCATATGAACACAGTCTTCTGATACCGCTCTATAAAAGCCTGAATAAACTGCATGTTATCAGACACCAGACGATTCTCCTGCATGACGTTCTCGGGCACAAGCTGAAGAAATCCTGCTGGAAACCAACAGGAAACCAGCAGGATTTTAGCAGAAAACTAACTGGTTTGGCTTCATGAATAATCCCCGTGTCTCTTCTGCTCTGATCCTCCACATATATAATCCCTGCTGCTGTGGTCAGTGTAGGTGAAACACCCGGTAAGAGGCAGACTGGCTCTACTGCTTCACACAGTTGTTCTAAATTATATTCAACACTACACTGTTATAATGATGTTTGTGTTACATGCATGGTCCTTTTTGAATACCTCAGCTGAACCCACACTGACCACATCTTAACCCACTGAACTCCTTCTCTTTTCCTGCCCCACCTTCTGCTTCGAGCTGCCTCCCTCTCACCCCCCCACCCCCCCTCACCAGACATCAGAATCAGCCTGTTGTCACAAAACAGATGGGAACATGTTTTGTTCATCCTAATCAATCTGGCGTTGCGCTGCTTGCATCCTGTGCTGCTAAATGAAACTCCAGATAGTATAAAAGTAAAGTGAGAGCCCCACCCCCCACCCCCCAGATCTGCACCTGTCTGGTGTTACTCTATATAACTGTCTGGTTTCCATTGGCTTTAAGTGTGACTCATGAAAACGGCCCCTCTCCTTCCTCCCACAGCCACTCTTACATCCTCGTCTCCCACATGTTTGAATGCTGTTTTCTTCTGCTATGTGAATTAGATTAGCGTGTGCATGGCTCTGACCAGAATGTTGCTTTTGAAGTGTTTCTCAGGTCCACGTATCGTATGCAAATACAAAAGTGAACACAAAACCTGGAGTTTGAGTAACTTCCTCTCTCTCCGTCCTCGATTCCCCTCAGTCTCTGTCTTCGCACTTTCCTTACAGTCTGTCTCTCTTGTTGGATGAAACTGTTTGTTTTCTGTGTCACAAAGTTTATTTGTGGTGTTGAAAGTGCCTCATCTCCCTCTTCATCACAACCACCGACACCATCACACTTCTTATCTGCTCTCCCTCTTTCATCCTGTCTTCAAAAAAAAAAACAAGTCTTCAAAAATCTTTCTGCCATCGCTCTGTCCAGTCCATTTTATACCCACCTCCCATCCATAAATACATCCTCAATCCAACCCAACCTCCCCCCTTTCCCTGTGGCACAAAACTGATTGAGGATGACTGGTTCTTTCCTGGCTGCTCCGATCCAGCACTGGCCACACGGCAGCAGGAGTTGGAGGAGGAGCTGACTCAAGCTCGGGGGCTCGGCCAACACAGGACCAAGAAGCTAACGGCTCCAGCCCAGCGGAGCCTGCAGGTAGGTGGACAGGCTGACATCATCTCAGCATGCCTTCAGATGTTTTTTTAAATGCTTGTTTTTCAGTGACATAGTTCGTCTTTAAAAAAAAAAATCCAAACTGCAAAACTGAAATTCAACCATTCCATCCATTATTTGTAAAAGCTTGAAATTTTTCTTTCACCAATTTTCTCTGTAAAATCATCAAAACAACCCAAATGAAACAACTTTGGAAATACATTGGTACCAAAGCTACTTCTTGCTGCAAGTGTGCTTCACAGTCAGCTGTTTATGCCCTTTTTCCTGGCTGGCTAACTCTCTGCACAGACTAATGGCTACCTGCTATTACAGGAAGTCACAGGTTCCTATGGAAACTTGTTAATTCCAGTGTTTTAGAAAAGGTGCACAAAGGTTTCACAGGATACTGGTGGGACACTCGACTTTCAACTAACACTCCATTTATTTATTTATTTATTTATTTTAACTTTATTAATTAAGTAATTAATTAATTATTTTAACTTATTTTTTTATTTATTGTCATTTGGTAGTATAGCAACATCTTACAACATGCAACACACACACACGTCCAAACACACATAACGCAATAACCCAAACAGAGACAGGAAAAAAAAACATACATGACAATTATCAGACGGTTATCAATTGTCATTGTTCCTTCTTGACTATTTGGTTATTTGCAGTTGTCCATCATTTTCAATATGTCCACATACAAAAGGTAAGAATCATTCCGCTGATCCTGAAGGCGAGTAACGTTGTGTCCAGCTGTGTGTAACAACCCTCGTCTGTGATCGACAATATTTGTACCAATTGCCATATACGTATCCCATTGATGGATTAGACAAGAGTTTAGAAAATCATTGCCACTCTCATGTGTGAGAGCTAGAGCCAGGAGGTGGTTAGCTTAGCCTAGCATGATGTGAAGGTGTTAGCCTGGCTCTCTCTGAAGAATAAAAAACAGCAAACTGCCCTCAGGGACCTTCAGCTGTGTCTTTTACACAGACAGAGATGTAGAAATTTTTAAACTCTTCCTTTAAATAATCGTTGCTTTGTGACCCGTCACTGCTCCTGTTGAGTTGACTTTGTCCCACCTGCAGGAGGACTTTGAGTTTGACGGGCAGGTCCCGTTCCAGGACCCTCGCAGCACCTCGGAGAGCACGACCCCGATGGAGGGAGAGAACATGGGAGGTTGGTGGCCCGAGTACAGTACTCCTGATACAGGTGTGAGACCCGCTAGACAGTTTACACTGGCATGCACACGGTCATCTGCACTTTACTTTACTGGGAAACCTAAGTTGTCTTTGGGTTGATATTTCGTTGTTTTTACCATAACACTCCAAACTTATTTTTATTGAGTGTTGGATTGTGGCTGTTGGTTGGTTTTGTCTTTTTTATTCATTTATTTTTTTCACCTAACATGCCAATACTGTGAATGTAAGACCTGGGTTTTCTATACGGGGTTATTGTGTTTACATATTAAAAAGGATCAGCTTCATTCAGCTTGACTTATTTCCTCCTGGTGGACTCCTTGTCCCTCTGTAGCAAGCTGAATTTAAGCTCATCCCCAATTTATTAGAAATAACTCTGGGACAATTGATGAAGAGTTCATTCATCGGTTTGCGTTGTCATCTGTCTCCAGTATTTTCTTTTGACACGTGCATGCTGGTTGAGCTGGCTAGTGTTTGTTGGGATTTATCCACTGAATGCACTGAATTCTTGAGAGCATATAAATGTAGGTGTCAGGATTCTCCCCATCTGTGGTAAGTTTTTTGTTTTTTCATTGTTTGCATGTATCTGCTCCTTTTTTTTCTTCATTTCCTCTCATCCTCTTTTCTGCCTTTTTAAACTGCTGCTTGTCAAAAAGCCAAAAAATACATCAGCAGATATCTAAGAAATTAAACTAATAACAACAAAAATACATGTGAAATTTAAATTATAATTGGGGAGTTGTATTTTAAATGGAAAACTGACTGATGTGAGTTTCGGTTTTTTGCAGCTAAAGCTTCTCTGGAATTTCACTTCCTGTGTTTAAATGAATAAATCTACCAATGTCCTTTTTAATTAGCCTGTGCTCATTAGAGATGAGAACTTTTCTCATAGACTCTGCTTCCTGTGATCGTCTCCTCCCACTGATTCACGTTTCCTACAGATTTTTTACCAACTTGTTTTCCCTCTTGCGCCGACACAGTAGGGCTGTCACTTAAAAACATCAGGTCACGACATTATCAGTTTGAATTAATGCAGCTCTCACAGCTTAATCAGAAGAAGTGACGTAGTTCTGTTAATTCATGGTTACCTGAGGGAGACGCCAACAGGTAAATTCAGATTTGCAAACAGTGACACTTTTTTCCATCTGTGGTGTTATCCACATACACGATGACGTACAATAGTCTAGTTTACTAAAAGGGCAACGTGACACGCATTGCTCAGATGGGCGGAGCATTTAACCGACACCTCCCACTGGAGCACAAGGCACCAAGCCCGTTGTGCTTATACACTGTGGATTTAATACAGTAGTCCATTATAGTTTTTTCATTTTTTCCCCCCACTTCTCATTTAAAGAGTGACAGCCACACAGTGCAGCCTCTCAAATGCTTTTAATCTGAAATATCTGTGCAGGAAGTGTTGACGTTACATTAACGGAAAAATAGCAGAGAAGAAGTGATAAGAATGAAAACAGTGTTTCTGCACATGGAGAAACTTGGAGCAGTGGGAATGTAGATGTGTTGAATTAGAGTATTGTTTACTCCTTCTCCTCTCAGTGGCCTTTTATTGTCACATGATGTCCCCCGTCACCTGTTCTCACCTGTTCTCTTCCCGGATGGTTCCAGATGGTTTGCGGTCCGTTGTGGAGGAGCTGGAGCTGGAGAGGAACCAGCTGCAGGAGCAGATACTGAGTCTGGAGGAGCGCTGTCAGGATCTGGAGGATCGACTGCAGCTGCAGGCACGCATCGAGGCGTTACAGGTAACCTCACTCACAGTCCCGGGGTTAAGTCAAACCAGAATTTGTCTTGCTGAATATTGTCTTAAACTCTCACTGTGAAGATGTAACTTACCTACTGATGAGTAAACGCTGAGTGAAATGCATGTTTCCCCCCCGAGAACTAGGATTTTGTAACAAACCCTTCTAACACAGGTGACGTTTGATGTAGATGAAGATGAGCAGCCATATTGGGTCTCTCAGGTGTGTTGGGTCTCTCGTGTATTGTGTGCGCTGGAGAGCACCTCTGGCGGTGACGGCTAACGGTGTGGTGTGCTCGTTTAATCCTGGACACGTTCGTCAGATAATGTTTTGAGCTAGCGCCGCGTTCTGCCGCAGACTCACTGGGTGTTGTAAAACCACACTTCAATGTTTTAATCTGTAACTGTCAAAACTGTCAAATCAGTGCTCAGCATTACCACATGAACGGGGAAAATAGATATCTAATAGCATTAATGAAAACAACAGCGGTGTCAGTTAAATTACACATCTCCTGGTCTCCAGCGGGTCTGCTCTCAACCACGTCTGTGTGCAGTGACAATCTCTCTATCCAGTTTCTTATGAATTTAATCTTTTGCATATTGATCTTTGTTTTTGTGCCGCTGCAGAACGAGTCGGAGAAACTTCAAAGCCAACTGGCCAGCGTCCGAAGTCAGCAGAGCAGAGATGCAGAGAAGCATCAGCTGCTGGTTACCAGCCTCAACGAGCAGCTCAAAGGGTGAGCTACTGAATTAAGTCGACTGGCCTCGTCAGCGTCACGTTTCAAAACAGTCTTTGTCTCGAACGTTCGTCTCGTTACTGCGGAACATTTCCCCGTAGCTCCGTAATGCTTCCTCCATTCATGATCAAGTTCTTCATTATTGGACGGATAAAACCTCTCTGTACCTGTTGAATGTTTGAACTGTTATGATTTCTGTTTATCAGGTTGAGTGACACACAGGAGTGTCTGGAAAGTTCCCTCATTGAGAAGGAAAACACTTTGGCCCAAACGTCGGAGAAGCTGGAGCTCATCAGCAGCCTCCGAGAATCTTTGAGCGAGAAAGAGATTCAGTACAAAGAGGTTTCTGACAAGCTCCTTCAGACTGAGCACACTGTAAGTGTTTCGTTGTTGTTGTTGTTGTTGTTGTTATTTTTGTTTGTGAGGACTTGTCACTGTTCATTGTGCAGTTGTAGTCAATCATTTTCTTTTGTTTTCCCTCCTTTCAGCTTGAAAACGTTTCCAAGAAATGCAGCAGCTCAGAGAAACAATGTTCTGGGCTGAAAACTGAAGTCGCCGACCTCACGCAGAAGTTGAGCGTGCTGAAGGAGAAGGTGTGATTCACTGAATGAGAACATCAATTCTTCTTAATGAAAGCATTCTTCATTATTGTTTTTTCATCCATTAATTGCGTTGCACACATCAGATAACACTCCTTCACACGTCCAGAGTCATTTTATATGGCGTTTTACTTCATTGTTGTTTTTTTTTTATCTCATTGTTTTCAGACTCAAAAACAGGAAGTCACCATAGAAACTTTACAAACTGAGCTTGATCAGACAAACGAGGAGCTGGACAAACTAAACACCGCCCACTTGGAAGAACGAGCCCAACTTATTCATGACCTTCAAACCTGCGAGCGGGAAATCGATAGTCTCAAAGACGCATTGTCGGAAAAGGACAAGGAGATATCGACCCTCTCTGCGAACATGGTGGAGTACACAGAGCAGTTGACGGTGCTGAAGCAGGAGATTAAACTCAAAGAGGAGAACCTGGTTCATGTGGAAAATGCACTGAGGAAAGCGCAGCAGGAGGTCACGATCATCAGAGAGTCACAGAATTCAGACCAGCAGGCGCTGAATAACAAGGTCACAGAGGCGGTCGGGAAACTCAAAGATACCGAGATGGAGTTAGTGAAGGCCAAAGAGGAGACAGAGTCTAAAGTGGCTGAGGTGGAACAGCTGATAAAGCAGATGGAAGAGGACAAGAAAACCATTCAGGACCTCCGAGGGGAGATCCAGAAACAGAGCGCGAGCCATCGTAATCATCTGTCTGAATGTGAAACACACATCACCTCGCTAAAGGAACAGCTGACGTCCTCCAGCCAAAAGCTGCAGGAGTCAGAAGGACTCGTTTTACAGCTCAAGGATGAAAATATCAACAAAGACACTTTACAGCAAGAGCTTCATGAAAAAGAACTGAAATCATTCAAGGAAGAACAAAACAAACTTCTGGCACAGGTGGAAAAATACAATAATGAAATGCAGACATTGTCCAAACGGTTAGAGGAGCAAGTGCAGAGCGAAGAACACATCCAAAAAGAGATGCGAGAGAAACTGGAAACCATAGCTTCCCTGGAAAACCAACTGAAGGCAAATGATAAACAAGCCGAGGACGAGAGGCAGAAATTCAACAGTGAACTGCAGGTCAGAGATTCAGAAAATCAGAAGTTGAGCAATGAGCTTAAAAGCAAAACCGACAACATCTCCAAACTCAAGAACCTCTTAAAAAACACAAAGACTGAGAGACAGCAGCTGCAGGAAAAGCTCAAAGGGCTGACGGAGGAGCTGGAGCTGCAGAAGGAGAGTGTGAAAGAACTGAATGAGAAGGTTACGTCTGCTCTTGAACTCAACGGCGCCCTGGGGAGTCAAGTACAAAGCCTCACAAAAGAAAAAGAGAGACTTGAACTGGAAGTGACTGAAAGTGTAAGAAACATTTCAGAGCTTACAGGTGAGAATGAGTCACTTCAAGCCCAAATATCCACATTGGAAACGCAGCATTCACAAAATGACAAAGTGATTGAAGGACTACAGAAAGATAAAGAGGAGTTGACTCTTCAAATGAACGAGTTAAAGGGAGTTCTTGAGCAAAGCACACACTCAAACTCAGAGATCCTGCTGGCAAAAACAAATGAATGTAGTAATCTCAACCAGTTACTCAGGGAGAGGGAGGATCAGGTGACCCACCTGCAGGAACAAGTGCAAAGCTTGACTTCTAAGGTCGACCAGCTGCAGGGCGAGGCGGCAGAGAAAGAGGAGACTGCTGCTGATCTTCGTGTGCAGTTAGAGGCGCAACAAAACCAGCAAACACAACTTCAGGAAACACTGTCGCTGCTCCGGGAGCAGGAGTGCAGCCTGAAGTCCGGGTTCGTGGAGAAAGACGCGATACTGAAAGAGAAGCAAGAAGAGCACCTCAGTTTGCAGAATGAAATCGCAACGCAGAAAAATATCGTATCCAAGCTGCGAGCTGAAGCCGAGTCTCTCAATGAAGAACAGTCGCAACTCAGGCGGCAACTTCAAGAGAGAGAAGAACTGTTGGGGAATACGATGCGACAGTGTCAAAAACACAAAGACGAACTGAACGAGACGAACAAGACGCTCAAGTCTCTGAGTGACCAAATCAGCGTCACGGAGGAAAACGCCAGAAAGCTTGAGAGTGAAGCCGAGCTGCGGCAAACGGAGGTGACAAGCTTAAACAGACACATCCACACTCTCACTGAGGAAAACCAACAACTTCATGCTGCCTGTGAATCTACAGCAAAACAACTCGCTCAGCAAACGGAGGCCGTGTCTGAGCTCGATGGACAGCTGAAAGCAACTCTTGAACAGAACTCCAGTTTGAGCGGGAAGATTATCAGTCTGACAGAAGATCATCAGAGACTACAGGAGGAGTTGGCACAGAGCATCCGATCAGTTTCTGAACTAACCAATGAGAGGAGTTCGCTCCAACAGAAAACCTCTGGGCTTGAAATCCAGATCGCAGACGGTCAGAAAACAATCGGCAGCTTGTTGAGGGAGAAGGAGGAGCTTTCTATCGCAGCAGATGAATTAAGAAAGGTCCTGAAGGAAAGTGAAATGTCAAATTCTGCAGGTTTGCTTGAGAAAACAAACGAATGTGTTAATCTGTCAAAACTGTTGAGGGAGAGAGAAGCACAGCTTCAGAGTTTACAGGAGCAAGTTGGTCAACTCAACGTGTCGTTGAATGAGAAAGAACAAACGTTGTCAGAGTGGCGCTCTCAGCTGGAGGCTCAGCAGAACCAGCTGCTGCAACTGCACGACACTATATCCATGCTGCAGGAACAAGGATCTGCCTTTAAGTCGGGGCTGATGGAGAAAGACGCCATGTTTCAGCAGAAAGCAGAGGAGTGTAGCGTTTACCAGAAAGAGATCACGCTACAGAAAGATTGTATATCACAGTTACAGGGTGATGTAGAGTCACTCAGGCGAGAGTGCTCAGGCGCCAAACAGCAGATTGAGCAGAAAGACCAGACATTAAGAGAAGTTACAAATGAGTTTCAAAGCCACAAGGATGAGCTGAACAAACGGAACGAGTCTGTGATTTCGCTCAGCAGTCAGCTCGGCGCCATGAATGAGAGTGCTGCGGAGATGGAGGCTGAAATCACCGACCTAAAGGCGGCTGTGCAGAAACTCACTGCAGAAACTCGTCAGCTGACGCATGAGGACGACCAGAGGAAGGCAGAGATCGTTGATTTTAAAGACAGCATTCAGGCACTGAATGAGCAGAATACTAAATTAAAATCTGAACTTCTCAACACAGTGACCGTTCTGTCCGCAGCACAAGAAGAAGTCACAAACCTTAAAAAATCCGTCGTTGAAAAGGACAATGAACTCAAAGCAGCGTACTCCGACAAGGAGACGTTTAATGTGACCGTGAGAGGAAAAGATGACTCCCTGAAACAGCAGGAGAGTCTGATCCAGCAGCTCAACAGGAGGGTCTCTGAGCAGGAGGAGCAGCTGAAACAGAAAACAGACGACAACGTCGGTTTAAGTGCAAAAGTTTCAGAGCTCGAAGATTCTGCCTTGAAGCTCAGAGGTCAGGTTGACAGTCTGACTTCAGAGTCATCCATACTGAAAAATACTCTGGAGAAAAAGGAACAGTTGAGTCTTGAATATCAGACTCATTCTTCAGCTGCTGTTGAAAAGTTTAATTCAAATCTACAAGCCAAAGAGGCAGAATGTGAGAGCTTGAAAGAACAGGTTTCACACCTTGAAGAATCCGTCGCAAAGCTCAACGACACCCTCCAGGTTCAGATGACCGAGGCAGAGAATCTGAAGAAGGCGCTGGTGGAAAAAGAGGCAGCTCTTAAAGACCAGTCAAAATCTCTCCAGGACATTCAGAGAAGAGCAGATGAAGCTCTGCTCTTCAGAACTCAGTTCATGGAAAGCACAGAGTTGGTGTCACAGCTGCAGAGTCAAATTCAGTTACTGTCCACTGAGTCTGGAAACCTCAGAACGTCAACAGAGGAGACGCAAAGTGCCTTCAACAACCTACAAGAGAAATACGCTGCTAACTTGGAGGAGTTGCAGGACGTGAGGAAGCAACTCTCCCAAAGGACCGACGAGGTGTCCGACCTTCGCAAGTTACTGGATGACTCCAGTAACGAGCATCAGGTGGCGAAGACCACAATAGAGACACTGAGAAACGAGTTAACAGCCATCCGTCACAAACTGGAGAAAACGGAAGACCTGAACTCCAGTCTGTCAAAGGAAAAGGACGAAGCTTTTTCTTCTCACCAAGCAAGCGTGACGCTGCTGACCGTTGAAATACAAAGACTCAAATCACAACATCTTCAGGTTGTTGCACAGATGAATGCCCTGACAGAAAACCTGGAGCAGAGGGAAATGGCTCTGCACGCCATCAACAGCCAGTACACGGCTCAGGCCAAACACGCCTCTCAGCTGGTCTCAGAGATGCAGAAACTAGAAGAGCAAAATAAGAGACTGAGTGAGGAAATTAGTTTGTCAAAGGAAGGTCATCAGAAGCATCTCACCGCCGTCGGTAATGAGAACGCACGTTTGCAAGAGGAAGTCGGGAAACTTGTTGCGGAGAAGGAAGAGCTGGAAAGGAGACACCATCAGATCAGGTCATCACAGGGGGAGCTGCAGGTTCAGATGGAGCATCAGTCCAGCAGCATGAATGAACTAATGGAGAAAATGGTGTCCGAGAAGGAGAACCTGCAAGCAAAGGTTAGTGGCAAAGATGGAGAACTCTCTCAATTAAAAGAACACGTTCTAAAGATAGAGCAGATTCTGCAGGACTCTGAGAAAGAGTGGCTGTTAGTTTTGGATAGAGAAACACAGGATAAGAATCTACTTGCTGAACAGTTGAAAGGTGTTGAAAATGAAATGAAATCTAAAGATGTTAAAGTTAATGCTTTGAAACGAGACTTGGACAGTTTGCAGGAGAAACTAGCCGAGGCTTCTTCTGCAGTCAGGCAAGGCTCTGATCAGCTGAGCGCTAAAGAGTCGGAAGCATCAGCGTCCAGGATTCAGCTGGAGAAGGTGTTAGCATCTTTCCAGGAGAAGGATAAAGAGAACAATAGTTTGCAACAGGCTCTGAAAACTGTGGAGTGCGAGTTACACAAACTTATAGTGAGAAAAAATGACGCAGACAAAGATTCCTCGTCTGAAAAACAAACCTCTTTACAGGAGATGATAAAACAATTACAGGAGAGTCATCAGTCTGAAGTAGATGCTTTGAGAAATGAGTTGGATAAAACTGTAGCGAAATTACACGAAGCACAAAACACACTCGATGAAGGAGGGAGGAGTAACGAGGAGAGGGGTCAACGAATTGCTCTTCTGCAAGACACAGTGGAGCGTTTACAGACTCGGCTCAACGCTGAGTCAGAGAAAGTGAAAGAAGCTGCTGTCAAACACTCGTCTTTACACAGTGAACTGCAGGCGAAAGACGAGCAGATCGGCTGTATTAACATTCAGATAAGTCAGCAGAGGGAATTACTGGCTGGACTTAGTCAGCAGATAAGGGATAAAGACGCATCCATTACGCAGGTCATAGAATCTGCCTCGAATGAAAGAATGAAACTCGCGGAGGAAAAAACATCTCTAATAGCACAGTTAGAAAGTGCGGAGCAAGCACATAAAACCTCCATGAAAAGGTTTGAAGAGGTGTCGCAACAGTTAGAAGATTATATCTCACGCTCCCAAAGTGAAAATGACGCCAAGAATTCAGAGAAGCTTCAGCTGATAAAGGAAAAGGACAATCTCAAAGGCGAACTGGCGAAGGTATCGAAAGAAAAAGATGTCATGAAGAAGAAGCTTCAAGCTGCTCTCATTCTAAGAAAAGATCTGTTGAAAAAAATAGAGGAGTATGAAAAGCAAAGAGAAGAGAGTTTGAACAATAAAACGGAGGTTTCACATTTACAGGATAAATTACAGGAAGTAACAAACCAAGCTCAGTTAAAAGTTTCTGCTCTGGAACAGAAAATTGTAGAGAAAGAGGGAGAGATTCTCGAACACAAGACAGAGAGTGAACGACTTGTTGAACAGTTACAGTCAGAAAAACAAACTTTGCAAGAGACGTTAAATGAGAAAGAAGCGCGTTTGTCAGAAAAACTGCAAACACTCAGTGAGAAAAGCTCCGTCATCAAGCAGCTGCAGTCCAGTGTCGCTGAGAGAGAAGAAGCCTTCGAGAAAGACAGAAACAGCCTGATGCAGAAATTGGAAGAGCTTCGAGATGAAATCAAGACGTGTAAAGATGAGTTAAAGGACAAATCTTCCTCCACTGCTACTGCACTTGACTTAGAAAATGAGCTCGCACAGATGAAGTCAGAGAAGGCGATACTCCAGAAAAAGGCCCAGGCTGCTTTGCTGGCGCGCAAAGAGACGATGAAGAAAGCTCAAGAGAATGAAAAGAAATTAACTCAGGAACTGGCTGAGCTGAAAGACGACTACAAGGCTCTGTTGGAGCAACACTGTCAGCAGACGAACGAGCTGAACGCCGTCCAGTTAAACTCTGACGAGAAGGTGAGGGAGCTGGAGGACCTCCATAAAACCTCCTTGTCTTATCTGGATGAACTAGACACTTTGAGACAGCTGGTGGAGGAGCGCAATAAGACTCTTCAAGATCTGAAGATGTCTCTGGCTGAGAAGGAGAGCCAGTGCCATTCTCTGTCGCACCTGCAAACAGAGCTGGAAACGCTGAAATCCAAAACTGAGAACATGTCTCTTGAGATGGCAAGTAAAGACGAGGCTCTCGTAGTCATGGAGCAAAGAGCAGAAGCTCTGAAGTCAAAACTTCAACTGGTAGAGAACGACTTGGAGAAAGCCCAGGCGGAAGGAAAGGAGAAAACAGAAGAGATCGAGAAATATAAGGAAACGATCAAAGTTTCTGAGGTAAAGACCGAACAAGAGAAACAGGTTTTATTGGAGGAACACGTTAGTACAAAGGAGGAAAAGTATCGTGTTTTAATGGAAGAAAAGGAGGCTGTTCTGGAGCAAAGTAATCAGATGAAAGTGGAACTTGAGACGGCTCTTGCTTTAGTTTCACAGAAATCCTCTGAGGTTTTAACCATCGAAAAGACATTATCAGAAACTCAGCAGCAGCTCAGTGAGGACAAAGGTGCTCTGACCAAAGAGCTTGAAAAAGCTCGGCTGCATTTCACTGATATGGAAAGGAATTTGGATTTGTTAAAGCAAGAAAAAGAAAGCGCTTTTAGATTAATCGATGAACTCAGAGGTGAGGTGACCGCACTGAACCGGCAACTGGAGGAGGCAGAGGAACTAAAGCTGCATCAAAAGACGCCTGAAACAGACATCAGACAGGAAGACGTTGACGAAGGCGGGGTCGGTTCATCCTGCAATTGTGCTGAAAACTTCAAAGTGATATTAACCGAGAGAGATGATGCCTTATCAGTTTCTCAGGCTCGAGTTGCAGAAAAGGAAGAACTAATCGCTGCACTTGAACTGCAGCTACAGCAGCAAATCAAAATTCACGAAACTGCCGTTGAGAAAATGAGAATAGAGGCAGATCAGCTTCAGAAATCTCAAGAAGACGGCAACAAAATGAACGGTCAGGACAACCAAGGCAAAATTTCTCTCCTAACCAGGAAACTTCAAGCAGCTTTAGTTTCTAGAAAAGAGCTCTTGAAGGAAAATGCAACGCTCAAGGAAGAAGCAGAGGAGCTGTCAGCCAAACACGGAGCTAAAGAAGCCGAGTGTTGTACTCTGGAATCGTCGGTTTTGAAGTTGAAACAACAAAACCTGGATCTGGAAAGCTCAGTGTCATCTCTGAACAAGGAGAAAGACGAGCTCAGCACCGAAGTCGATCGATTCCTCAATGATAATCGCAGTCTCTCAGCAGCCTGCGACAGCTTGAAACTAACCATAGAGAGCATCACCCAGCAGAAACAAGCCTTTTCATGCCAGCTCGAATCCCTGAAAGACTCTCAAACGGAGGAGCTGTCCAAGTGGAAGTCAAAGCACGCCGAGCTGAAACAAGAGTACGAGTCTCTTTTGCAAGCTTACGAAAACGTTAGCAGTGAAATGGACAAGATGAGACAGCTTTTGGAGGGGGCCAAAAGAGACAGACAGGAAGCCCTCCGCAAAATACACAAACATGAGGCCGAGATGGAAAATCTGGAGAAGCAGGCCAGAGAGATGGAGGAGGAAAATGACAGAATTAAAGAGAGGATTCGCACATTTTCCAAAGAGAAACGGCAGAAGATCGAGGAGCTGGAGGAAGAGAATCAGAAAATGAGATTAGAATTGACTGAGCATGAAGGAAACCGCAAAATGGCAATGTGTGAGCTGACTGACAAAAATAAAGAATTGGAGGCTGAGATTTGCCACCTTAAAGAGTCTTCAGAGGATCTGAGAGTGAAACTGACAGAGATCCAGGCCGAAAATAGCCAACTGGCAGAAAAACTCGGAGAGGCTAGCTGTTCATTGGAGGAGAAGCACATGGAATCAAACACATACACAAACAACATGCAGCTGAAACTGGACGAAGCGCTCAGTTTGAGTAATTCACTCACTGCGCAGATTGAGGCCCAGAAAACGGAGCTCAGTGCTCAGCTGGAAATCAACAAGCTGTTACAAAAGGAGAAGCAAAATCTTTCTGAGAGAATTGACAAGATACAGAACGACCATGAAGTTCAGTTGGGAAAGAAAGATGATGTCGTCAAAGAGCTAAGAGACGTCATCAACCGACACGGCCAGGAAACCATCAGCCTGAACGAGAAGGTGAGAATCCTGGAGGACGATAAGTCTCTTCTGCAAGAGGAGCTTGAAAATGTTCAAGAGATTTCAGACAAAGTGAAAAATGAAAATGAATATTTGGAAACTGTGATCCTCAAGAACTCCGAGAGGATCGACGAACTGACCGAGTCTGTCTGCGTTTTGCAAACCCAGAACACACAGCTGTCCTCTCAGCTGGCGGCGAGCAAGGAGATGAGCAATCAGGTTCGTCAAGAGAAAGAGGAGGAGCAGCTCAAACTGGTCAGAGAGTTTGAGGAGAAGCTCAAGACGGTTCAGAGAGGCAACGAGGGCACCAAGAACGTGAAGAAAGAACTGCAAGAGCTGCTCAAAGAAAAGCATCAGGAGATAAATCAGCTGCAGCACAACTGTATCAAATACCAGGAACTGATTTTAGATTTGGAGAGCTCTCTGAAGAGCTCACAGTCAGCCTGCGAACACATGGAGAAAGAACTGAAGAAGAGTTCAGAGAAGATTTCAGCTCTGGAGGAGAGAAGGAAACAGTTTGAAGTTGAGCTGGTGACACAGAAGAATCTTCTCCAGGACGCCAAAGAAAAGATTGTGAGTGTCGAGTCGGAAAGAGACCAGCTGGCTCTGGAAATATCCCGGCAAAGTCGACAGTCTGAGGATCGGGAGAAGATAAAATCACCACAAAGTATAGATGAGAAACAAATAAATTCATACGTGGAGAATCAGTTTGTGTTGCAGCAGCAGATCGATGACCTCAAGGATTTAAAAGATAAAGAAAGTCAAAAGGTTAATGATCTGCGACAACATGTGGACTCTCAAGATCTACAGATAAATACTCTGAAGAGAGCAGCTGAGACTAATGAAGCGAAGCTGTTTGCTTTATCTTCCACTTCCCAAGGGGCAGATGCCACAAAACTCTGGAATGATTTGTACCAGAGGACGTTGAACGAGAAGGATAACCAGCTCCTGGAGCAGGGCTTTGTGATCAAAAGGTTCCTGGAAGACATGAGGGTTAAAGATAAAGAGGTGAATGAACTCCGAGTCACCAAGTCCAGACTTGAGAGGACTCTGAATGAATACTCTGTCGCCGCAGCTGCACAGCAGAGACAGCTGTTTGTGATGAGCGCGAGCAACGCCGAACTGACCGAGTCCGTGGAGCTCATGACTGTGCAGGTGAAGGAACTGAGTGCTCAGGTGGAGAGAATAGAGCAGGATAAAAACACGCTCAGCCGACACCTTGCCGACAAGGAGGATGCGATTTCTCAAATGCAGCTGAATCTCCATCAAACAGAGAAGATAAACGCAGACACAGACGCTCAGCTGCTACTTCTACAAACTCAAAATGACAAACTTCGAGCTGACTTTGAGAAACAGGAGGGAATTTCTCTGCAACTGAAAACCCTCCTTCAGAGCAAGGACGCTGAGATCTCCTCCCTGTTGTCCTGTAGAGATGGACAGATGTCGGGGTATCTAGAGCAACTCCAGGCTAATTATCGTTCGCAGGTCGCAGTTTATGAGGACAGGCTAACATCTTTACGCTACCAAAGGGAAAAGGCCGATAAAGAGCTGAGAGGGCTCGAAGCCAGGGTCAAAAGTCTGCAAATTAAAGCGAGCAGATCCGTCCAGGAGAAGGAGCAGATGGCAGCAAAGATGGAGTCATTCAAGAACTCCATGGTGTCTTTACAGAGTGAACGGGAGCGACTGATGTCAGAATACAGAATCCTTGAAGCAAAGAGCGAGCTGGGCTTAAAGGGTAAAGAGGGCTCTGCTGACGGGGAAGGTGGTGCAGCCAAAGGTCTTAAACATGAAATAAGGAAACTGTTGCATCAGATGGATGATCTCAACTCGGAGAACGCGATGCTCAGGGCTCAGCTGGTCCGGTACAGAGAGGACTTGAATCAGGTTTTATCCCTGAAGGACAACCAGTTGAAGGTTCTGCTGAAGAAGCAGCAGGATGTGATCAAAAACCTGGAAAATCAAAAGGCTGCAGCTGAGAAGCAGCACAGAGAGTCTCGCTTGGAGCTGCAGAAGGAAGAGCAGGCGAGCAATACGTTGAAAGCAGAGATTTCTAAACTCAAAGCTCAGGTTTCACAACTGGAAACAGAAATATCGACTGAGAAAAAGGACAGAGCCACGACGAACGAGGGCAAAGTGATTGCTGATTTGCAGGAGGCCGTGGCAGCCAAAGCAGCTGAGTGTAATGAGCTCCAGCAAAAACTTCTTTCTCAGAAAATCTTAACTGATGAACTCAAGGGAAAAATGCAGCAGGTGGAAAATGAGACGGACAAAAAACTGACCGAAGCCGAAGACAAATACAACTCTGAGCTGGACACCTTCGAGCGAGAGGTGGAGCTGATGAGGGGCGAGCAAGAGACAGCTGATCAAAGGGTGGCAGAGCTCGCGAAAGACCTTCTCGACATGGAGCAACAGCTAACAGACGCCAAAACTCAGAATAAAGACATAAAGGTTCAAAATGAGTCTCTGTGCAAAGCCATGGCCGCTTTGCAGAATGACCGCGACCAGCTCATCGAAGACTTCAAGGTCCTGAGAAACAGATATGATGAAGAACTCCGGGAGACTCAGGCAGCTTTGAACAAGGTGGAGCGCAGCCTGCAGGACGCCACGTCCGACCTGGCCATGTTTGCCAAAGAGAGGGACATCCTTGTTCATAAACTTAACGCTTTAGAGAGCAAAGACGCTGACGCGGAGCTGAACAAGTTGTTGGACGAGCTGTCGAAGGACGTGTCGGAGAAAGAGAAGAAACTGAAGCAGGTCGTCTCTGAAAATAACTCGTACGTCAGGCAGCTATCGGCGTTCTCCAGATCCATGGCCAGCCTCCAGAATGATCGGGACAGGCTGATGGATGAGTTGGCCGGAACCAAACGAGTGGTTGAGTCCAGACAGGGGTCAAGCCCAGAGACTGTCTCCTCCCTGAGTGTGGAGAGGTCTAAAGGAAGTGGCATCACAGCCCTCCAGACTGACAGAGACGGGCTGGTAAGTCAAGTCATCAGCTGTGTGTTCAGTTTGGCTGTTGCTTGCACTTCCTTTCTCTGCTGTAGTTTTATGTTGCAGACAGCATGAAGGGTTAAAGTTTTATTTATTCATTTGGTTTTTTCCTACATACCATTGCTTTGAATTGCATGGTATTTTTCTTTTGGGATGCACATGTGTTCTGGTGTCTGTGAAATTCTGTCTTTTAATTACAACTTTTGTTTAAAGATAAATTGTTCCATCTTTGTGACTGATGAGTCTCTTCTCTTTTCTGTTTCAGCAGACGACAGATGAGCTGCAACAACAAGCTGCAGAGAAGATGCAAACTCGCTTAACGTCCCCTGAAGAAGTCGGCAGCTCTCAGGAGGAAGCAGCAAATCTGAGGTATCTGAGTTAATTAAACCACGAGTTAGTGTCCGTAAAGAGTAACTGAAAGTCACGGACAAGTCTGGTGTTGGATGCATGAACAAGAAGTGTGGCCTCTCACACGACCTCTTGACTCAGACGGTTTTTCATGCAGCAGAAACAAGAAAAGAAAGTCACACACTTTGGCAACAAGTGAGAGGTTTGATATTTGGATGAACATTCATGTACGCTGCTTGTTGGGAAACAGCTGCAGGTTTTTCTAGCACTGAGCTCAAAGACTAAACGACGAGATGAGAAATATTAGATTTTTGTTGATGATACTAAAAGGTTTCTGTTGTGTAGGTCTGACAGAGAGAGGAAGGACAAAGCTCCAGTCAAGGTAAGTTTACACACATGAACACTCTGGACTGTGTGATGTCTCCTGGTTATTTTATATTTTATACTGTTTGAAATGTGGGTATTTATTGTTGCTGGCTGTTGGTGCCACAGTAAGAAATCATTAGTTTATCTTAAATATTGTTTGCACTGAGGACTGAATGTGGAGAAAGACGGATAGCTGTTAGTTTTTCATCTTGCTAATTGAAATGTTTCCGTCCGTGCAGCGGGAGGCAGGTCAGAGTGGGATGGAGGAGCTGGTGAGTCAGCTGGAGGCAGAGAGGGTTCAGCTTCACAGAGACCTGCAGCGCTGCATGTACGAGATCCAACAGCGAGACCAGTACTTCCAGCAACTCAACACCAAGGTACGAAAGATATTATTTTATTATTATTATTTTCAATTCCTACAGAAAATACAAGAAAAGTAAGAATGAAAGCATCCAGTAATCCATCACCATGGATGCTACGATATGCTAAATCTCCCTTGAATACTCTTCCTCACCCCACATCCTCACTCCACACACCTCCCCCCTCCTCCCCCAGCTGCAGCAGGCCATGGAGGAGAAAGGAGCCGTTGCAGCTCAGCTGAGGGCCGTTTCACAAACCCTGAGGGACACACAGAACCGCTGCCATTGGCTGGAAAACCAGGTCCAAGGCCAGACTCAGGTAAATAATGCTGTATACCTGCAGGTCTATGCTGCTCATGTCTATGGCAGGAGGTTTCAAAAAGTGAGCGAAAAAGACATTTTATCATCTCTATCTTGACTTTTTAAACATCTTTTGAACATAATTTCATATCACACATTGTTAGACCTTCTTGTAGAATTCAATTCAAGTCAAACAACTACATCAAAGTCAGTCAGACACCAAATGAAATCTTCACTGCGCTGCTTTTCATATCCCTGTCTCAACATCGAGTCTAAACCCTCTGTCTCCTCTCTCACTATAGCTACTAAAAATCAATCCATTTTGTCTCGTGAACATCTGAGTTTAGCTAAGCAGATGTTTACACTTATTTTTCCTCACGCTGCACCTTCCCTGAAGCTCTCTGGCACCTCGAGCTTTGAAAGCTGCTGGTCTATAATATTTATGTGGTCCCTTTTTTCTCTTAAAGCTTCTAACAAATAGTTTATTTTTAGACATCAGATTAATAGTTTTGCCCCTGTCCCCCTGACGTCATCATAAAGCACGAGGGTGGCCACATAATGTCTAAAGGTTTATGTGAATTGATGTGTCTGTGCACAGCTGCGTCTGGACACTGTAGATCCATTATACGTGACTTGCCTGTGCAGTTACCTTCCCTCTGCGTTATGTTTTTCCATCGTAATTCCACCTGTGTTGTTGCATCTCGTCACTCAATGTCTTTCCCCTTATTTTCTGAACTGTTATAATATGAATTAAAGTCCAAAATGCTATAAAAATAATCTTCCAACAAAAAGTTACCTCTGTATGTACCTGTAATGTTGTGTCATCACCACCAGGGGTCCGTGTTTGCTGAGGTCGCACCAGGAGCTCCACAGGAGAGAAGCAACGACTCGGTGGTTGCTGAAGCTGCTGAAGCTGCTGAAGCTGTTCAGCTCAGAGAAAGGTGAGACCAGACCTCTCCACATTCTCACAGATGTTTCTGTGTAGCACTGGTCGAGCTCATGGATAAATTAATGTGTGTTCAGGCTGCTTGAGGTGGAGCAGAATCTGGCTGATGAGAGAGCGAGGAGAGAGACGGCTGAGGAGGCTCTGCGTCTGGCTGAGGACAGGGTGAAGAGGTGAGATCCAAATTCAGTCACATATCTCACACACACACACACACACAAACACACACACACACACACACACACACACACACACACACACACACACACACACACACACACACACACACACACACACACATACACCTAAAACAGTGCAGAACTTTTTAAATGTTTTGTTGTGCAGTGTTGGCTCCAGTCTGTCCAGAGACAGTCAGAGGGATTTCAGTATCGAGATGGAAACAGAGGAGGAGTGGGAGGCTCTGAGTCTGAACCCCAACCAGCCTCTAATAACACGAAAGGTACGTTTTTATTTATTTAGCCTTAGACCTGATTACCGTCACCACTGCCTCTAAATATAATAAGAATAATACCTTTTATTTATAGGCACCTTTCAAGGCACTCAAGGACACCTTACAACACACAGTAAAAGATAAAAGACTAGTACAAGGCATAAAATACAGAATAAATTAGAATAAATGTAATTGTATAAAATTATAAATTTTATTATTTAATTTTATGCAAAAAAGTGTAAGATAATGATAAACCCTTGTTCATGTTCAGTTTATATAAGACATGAGTGGCAGGTGTGTCCCTGACTGCGTGGTGTGTGTACCTTCAGGTGAAAGGTGGGATGGTGGCGTGTCGGCGGTGGCTCAGAGGGCGGAGCCTCTACTTCTCCAGGCTGCTGACGAGCCGCGCCCGCTCTCGATATTTCTTCCTGGCCTACTTGCTCACAATCCACGTGCTGGTCCTCATGTGCCTCAGTGGCGCCCTGTAGCGAGGTCACGCCGGGAACAGACCGGCTCAAGGTTAAAACTCAAAGCCGCGGTCTGCAGGAAACACTAAAACCGGAGGTGGAGATGCTCCTGGTTAATGTTGCCAGGGAATGAATGTTGAAGTTAAAGATTTCATCCTCCAGTTAATGTAATGTTCAGTTTATTTGTTTTTCTGTTAAAGGCTGGACACAGATAAGTTATTGATTAGATGTCTGAGCACTGGTTTTTATTAGTTTACTAGTTTACTTTTTTCTTTTTCTAGACATCTTTTATGGTAAACCAAGCCTTAAAGCATGATCCTCCCTCCTCTTCCTAAAACAAGCAGGTGGATTCCTTAATTCTTGTGGCCTGTTTCCTACAGTTTGTTTTCTGATCCACATTGGAGAAGAGACGAGGAGAGAAGCTTCATATTTGACACAAAAAAAGCCTCAAAGGGAGTTTGAGAAAGACGGGACTTGAACCAAGAAGGTGCAGAAAGCCATATCCATTCTTTGTCAACACTACTGTATGAATCTTGTTTTAAATTCCTCCCCACCTTGTTGCCCCTCCCCCCTGAGCTGGGAGCAAACATGCAAACATCCCGTCTGTCAGTTCCGTTTGCTTCACATCCAAATCACAAACGTTGGCACCAGCTGCTGCTTTACCTGCCTGGGTTCACACTTTGCACATAATCGTGATGCTGAGTAAAAACTATGCACTGATACTCCAGATGTAAATGTAATCATCTCATATAAGCTCAGAAGCACTACAGCCCCCCCCCCCGTTCCCTTTAAACCGTAAAGCCAAAGGTGAGTGTATCCTGACCTTGGCAGTTGGAATAAGTGCTGTCATGCCCGTTAAAGTGAGTGAGGAGACATGTTTAAAAATATCCTGAACTTTAGCTCCTGTATCATGATGTGCCATTGCAAAGTGTACTGCAAAAAAAAAAAAGGATATGAAAATACATATTGTATGTATTTAAGGTTTTTCTGTATTTATGCGTGCATCCTCAGAAAGTATAGTGTACAGTATCTGTTATGGACTGTATGTATGTATATACACATTTCTATCGACTCTGCCTGGTGTATGATGACTGTACATTTCTTCTAGATTGTTAAAGAGGTGGAAGATGTGATGAGAGACGAAGTTTCACAAAACAAGCTCAACTAACGAACCAAAAGTAAAAAGATAAAAATAAGATTGAATTGTTTTAAAGAGGGTGAAAGACGATTTGTGGCTCGTTAATTGGTCTGGTTTTGTAGAAAACCTCGAGTCGAGTACGAGTTTGAGATATTGCTGTAATGATCTGTACATAAAGGTGACTGATGGAAAAAATAATGAACTGAATCTATTTATGAAAAAAAAAAAAAGGTAAACTACTGATAAATGTTCAGATGGCATATTTTCTCTGCTGCCTCTATTTTTAAGTTAGTGATGCTGTTGGCCTTCTGGTTACATTAGGCTTCACTTGGTGCAATACTGTGTCAGAGGTGAACGTTTTCAGCTCACCTTCACCATCCCAGAAGAAATTTAATAAAGCTTATTGGACTTTTCTTCAGTTTGCCCTTATGATGTGTATTTTACTAGCAGCCTGCGGCATCATCCGCTCGGCTGTCATCAGATTGTTGTGTTGGATGATAAACACAGTGATGTCGCAAATTATTCAACTGTCATTTTATACACACTTATTGTTTTGTAGATTTTATTTAAAATAGATTAAATTTACTTTTTTTTAATTTAAAATACGTAAAAATGCCAAAACAAAGTGAAATACAATACACATTGTTATATGTATTTCTTTTACTATGTCATAATTGGATTTTTAAAAAAAAACTTATTTTACAGATTTTTCCTAAATTATTATGATCAAACACCATCAATAAAGTGACGCCACTCAAGTTTCTGCAGAGAAACTTTTTCCTAATAATAAAATTAAGTGTCAATCAATTAAATATCAACACAAGCTTAATATTGTAAAGTAAACCTTTTGTTTTGGAAGACAAAGTAAAAAATACTGTGTAAAACAGATTAAAATCATCTCAAACTTCAACTTGCAGTATTTGTGTCAACATTGAATCTATAAATGTAAAGTAATGTTAAAACCTGTAGAAGCACAATCTAAATACAATATTTACTGATTCAGATTCAGATCAATTTTCTTACATTTCTCATAAAATATAATATACTGAAGAAATGGAAATTAAACTGTTAAGTCTCTATATATAGTCTTTCAACTAAAGTGAGGTTGGAAACTAAATTACAAATAACATACGAACCACTATTGACTTTATAACACTTTTATTTAATATATTCAGATGTAAATTTACAATATCAACCAATTATTCACAAATAGTTCTTCAGAGCCCCGGGATGATCTGAAGAACTAAAACTGGCATTTCTCCATTGGTCTATCTTGCCTGTTAAGGTTCCTATAATGAGGAGGTGATGATGTCACCTCTGAAAGAGGGGGGGCTGTGGAGCTGAGGGGGTGTGGTCTGTTGTTTTTTAGCTTGTATCTTCCAATTCAATTCTAAATAAGTGATGCTGTTGGAACAGCACACTGATATTAACTATAATGGCTGAGGACTATGAAATATGAACTCTAATGTTTTAAACTATTGACAGTTTGTTACAGCTACAGTGGAGTCCAAAAGTCATGTGATTGTATGTCTGACATGGGGCAGAGAGTGTAATACGACAGTGAGGGTGTAGGGAACAAGGAAGAGCACAGCTGATCAGACTGAACAATGTTATGGCCACAAGTGTTACATTAAAAAATACTATATTATCATATAAGACACTGTGTGTATGTTTGGGAAGAGAAGATCTTCATGTGTGGACACTGCAGGTGGAGGTGGTGCAGGGCCTCCATCATTGCTGCAAGAGGTTGTAGGTGTCCCCAAAGATCCAGACTTTGGCTGGATGGAAAAAACATTATAATAGAGAGAAATCATATCAATATCATATTGTAGAGTACAGAGAAAAAGACAAAAGAAACAGCACTCTGATTAGATGATCACAGATATCTGAAAATACATTATTCCCTCAGCTTAGTTGTAATAAACAGTCTGCTGAACCGTTTTACATGAAATAACAATAGAATAGAAACTAATACTCAGTTTGGTGTCATTGTGCAGGTGCACATGTCATGATGGTTCTCAGCTCTCAGTGATGTTCTTTATTCTGACAGAGACAGAATCATTCCAACAGATGTTTTGACTCCTGTCATCAATAATGAAATGAACTAGAGCTGAAAACTAGCCGACTAACACTGAACCAAACTTAATATGAACAAACACGACACACACGTCCGCTGCTCTGCTCTTTAACAGCGCGTCCAGACACGACAGTTCACTGTAATAACGGGATCGTTTAGTGACCGTGACTTACCGACATTGACAACCCGCTGTCTCTGTTAACACTAAGGTCGGTGACGTCACCTTCGCTTTGCAGAACTCATTGTAAAACACGTTATAACATGTTTTCCCTCGGTCTATGGTTTTAATACAAGCGGTTACACCACACAGTTAGCTTACACACAGGAACTTCAGCTAATATTACAAGCTTTCTCCTCATATACGTGATATTTACCAAATGTGGACATGTATGCAATTAGCTACTGAGATTATTTTAACACTAAGATATAAAGTTTACCTCGAATTATTAATGCTAACTGTGTTAGCAGTGACTTCGTACCGCGTATCCAGGAGCCTGCTGCGGTCAGGTAGCCGGTGTAGGCGGCCGTGCAGAGCAAAGATCCTCTATAGAGAAGATGCCGCACTACAGGCAGCGCCAATGGTGTGAAATGAGACAGTTCCGGTCTCCTAAGTGGATGTTGTCCCTCAACCCCTCCCTCAAGTGAAGGCAACTGGCATGAAATGTGACAGTAGTAGTAGTCTATACCTGTCTAGACTTACCTCTCTGCATCCTTTGGGAAAGAAAAGACAGAGCTGTTTTTGTTGTTATTACAGCCTGTTGCTGCACAAAGCTCGAGCATTTTTTACACTAACTGATAGATGACTTGTTCCTGTCAGAGCAGAGAGGAGGAGCCTCCGACTCCACGGCTTCTCCTATTGGTGCAGCAATGATCCTCTCAGCCCTCACCACAGCTGTTGCAGTTTGAGCATCAGAGGAAGAGAGTTTAAGAGCCCAGCCCGAACATCATTAGTTGCGGCTGACATGATCGGCAGCTCGCCTCTGTATCTCCTTTGTGAACATTTGTGTGTAATTTGTGATTTGGTTTGAGATGCTGGTGTTGATTGTTGGGGACTGGGCTAGGTTTAAAGATTGTGCATCACACCCTTAGAAAAAGACTGTTGGACACATTAGGAACAGGGGTGCTGCTTCTTGTGTTTTTGGGTTGGTTAGAATCGCATAGTTAGGCTCTTTGTTGGCTCCTGTTCCCCTACTTCAGTTATCCTCTTGCCTTGTTTGTATTTTATTTATTTATTTTTTACTTATTTACGCTCCTGGTTACGCAATAAATTAAATCAGTAAATGTGATTTACCAATAACACCTGGTTTTATGTTGCTTCCCTTTTTCCCCTAGCTGGGTCGTAACATAAAGGCAAGACTGCCAACATACAGTGACTGGGAGCACAGTGCCATGACCTCATATACGGACACAAGAAAAACCAACATGGCTGCGGTGAACTGAAACCTGGCTCTGTGAGCAGTCCATGGTCAGTAAGTGAAATACTCAGTGATTAAAATTTCCGGGGCTGTTGTATCCTCTTTGCTTGCAGAAATCAACTGCCTGGTACTGGACGTATGTCTCAGTGTTGGAGGTTTTACTTTCTCAGCAAAGTGGTTCCACAAAGGGTTTATATCTTGATACTTCATGTGAACAGTGCAACATCTACTGGCCTGAATGCAAAGTGGGCAAGTACAGCGTTTGTACATCACAAATTGAATGTAAGTATAAGGGAAAGCATGATTGTATTTTATAATCCAAGCATAGATTTATATACTACAAAAGCAAATAAAAAATGTTTTGTATGCATCAAATGTGTCAATATCAGTGAAGTTAAGTTCAATGTCTTTGTTTTAACTTGGTGTCAAAACTGTAAGTTAGTTTGCAATGTGGGCAAAGAATGTGTAGCTTTACTTTTAAATGTCAGTTTTGGTGGTTGTGCTGTAAAGGTGCAATATAAGATGTGGCCAGAACTTTAGTTTAAAATGTTCATAATGAATTAACACGATCAACAGTGTGTGAAGCAGCCACAGTGACGATGTCATGATCAAGACCTCTATCTGTCCTGTCTATTTCAGTTATCTCCTGAAATGCTCACCAGCCAGCCCCGACCTGTCCTGTGTTGTAATACCACTTTGTGACGCTAGACGCTGTGTGAGTCAGTGGCGCGTCAAGTCTGCTCTCAGTCCCACGAAGAAGAACAACTTGGAAGTTAGCTTCACAAAAACACAGGAATGGCTGAACCTCCTAAAAGGCGATATTCATCTGTATCCCAAAGAACCGCTCCCGACAAGAAACCACGTTCAACGGCCAAGAAAAGAAGCGACACGAGTAAATGTCAATGTGGCTTTCCACCGCTGGAGACGGCTCCTGAGAGTAAAGAGATGCGGTTTGATGCCGAGCTCGCAACTTTCCTGTTAGCCAGGTGAGTGGCATTGATGTTAGCTCTGAAGCTAAAAGTATAATCGGTAGAACGACTGACACATACCATACCGACAAACATTTCAGGTGGTGATATTGACGGTGTCGACAGACCCTTTTAGCGGTTACTAGGATTGTGTCTGTTGCTCTCGGCTGTTGTGCAGCTAGTGACGTCAGTAACTTTAGGCTCATTTTGTAACTGATGACTAACTTGAGATTGTATGGACCCAGTAGACCGAGTGAATACACGTCAATCGGTTCACCATGTTGTAACCACTTTACATTAGGAGATCAGCCATGATTGAAAGTGCACTAGGTCTTTTAATTTCTGAGATTTCATCATCCCTCTGTTTTTATCAGGACCTGAGCCAGTGCAGATGCAATACCGCCTCCACCTGCCTCACCAACGGCAGAGAGTCCAGACAGTGAGGAGGGTCTAGGTGAGTAACATGCTATACTTCACTTTATAAAAGTAAGACTTGTCTATACCACTGATTAAATCAGACCCACAGTGTATACATGTTCATACTGCTGATTCTTAATAATGAATATACCACTGCCTATATTGGTTATGTATTTTACTGTATATCCATATTTGTACCACTGAATTTGTTGTTGTAGTGTGTGTACATTGAATTCTTACCATACCTCTAGTTGTTTACCCTTCATTTCCTTGCATTTTCATTTCATAATATTCTTACTGTATTTATTTTTACATATGCATATCTATCCTCACAATTTATACACACACAACATATCTAACATGTTTGAATATAAAGAACTTGTAAGATCTAAACTAATTGTCCTATCACATGTTTGTCTGTATCAGGACCAGAATTCCAGTCTAATCATCACCAATGATGGACCAGCACCAGCCTTTTCTTCTGCATCTGGCCTCATCAATCAACTGCATTACATCAACACCTTGAGGTATTATCC